AGCCTATCCATGGTGCTCTTAAACAAAGTCCATGCCGTTAATGCCTGGATACTCATTTCTCTGATAAGAACCACAGGTCCTGCCTCAAATATCTCAGTCAACTTTTATTTTTATTTATTTTTTTTTTAAAAGCCAGTCTTCTCAGACCACAGGAAGTTGCTGCTTGCTCAGTTCCTCTCTTCCCTGCTTTCTCATCACTTTTTTTTTTTTTTTTTGGCTTCCAGCTGGGTGGCTAGCAAAGGAGTAAAGAAATAACTATTTTAAAGGGACAGATTTATTTTKTCAGAGCCCTAAAATATGTTGTGTACAAAGTCAATCATTCAATAGTCACAAATTTCTTAACTCAGTTTCTTGACTCACAGTGAAGGTGGGGTTCCAGGTACCTTTCATTCATACCTGCAGCCCTTGGGGGTGCAGAGAGGATGAAGTTACTGCCATTATTCTGGGAGTCTTAGCAGAGTGGAATTTGGGGGTCCTGACTCCAAAGAGGTCTTGGGGTGCTTCATCATATACTGACTTTGGAGGATACACTGTCCTCTAGGAATTTGAAGTTTTCTTGAGGACACAACAGTCATGTAGGAAGAATAGTTCTAAAGAAAACAAGGTATGTCTGTAAGTAACTAAATGCAAAAGGAAAAGGAACTTATATTTACTATGTCCCTACTCTGCTGTATTTACTGTGTACTTATTGCATTCTTTATAGTTGTTACCTCTTTAACCTGTATATTAGTTTCCTAAGGTTGCTGTAACAAATTATTACAAATGTAATAACAATTATTACAACCCCAGCAACTCAGGAGGCCAAGGCAGGAGGCAAGTTCAAAGCTAGCCTTCAGCCACTTAGCCAGACTGTCTCAAAATTAAAATAAATAAATAAATAAATAGGACTAGGGATATAACTCAGTGGTAGAGCACAACCTCTAAGCACCTGTTCAATCCCTGGTACTTCAAAAAACAAAAATTACCACAAATTGGGTGGCTTAAAACAACAGAAATTTATTCTCTCACAGTTTTGGAAGCCAAAAGTCCCAAATCAGTATTGCTAGACTGAAATTAGAAGTTGATAAGGCCAGTGCTCTCTCCGAAGCCTCTAGAAGAGAATCCGTTTCTCACCTCTTTCAGCTTCTGGTGGCTGCTGGCACTCCTCACACATGATCACATTACCAGTTTCTGCCTCTGTGGTCACATTGCCTTCTTACCTCTGTGCCTTCTCCATTCTGTCTGTGTCAAATCTCCCTCTACTGGAAAGGATATGTATGATTGCATTTAGGGCCCAACCCGATCATCCAAGATAATCTTCCCTTCTTAAAATCCTTACCTTAATCACATCCACAAAGGTCCTTTTTTAAAATAAGGCAGCATTTACAGGTTCCAGGATTAGGACCTGATACCTTTTGAGGGTGTAATTCAGCCCTCTATCCTGCAGATGGATGTCTTATAATCTTCCTTTTATAGGCTGGGAGTTGGGCTCAGGGAGGTACCCAAGGTCCCACACATGGTAAGCAATGGCATCAGGTTTTAAACTTGGAGCTGCCTCCAAAGTCTATGCTTGGTTTTTGTGCCCTGCCACCTCCCTCCTGACTGCTCCATGGGTTGGTGATGCCTATAGTGGCCATAAGAGGTATTCTGACAACAAAGCCAGTGGTGGGAATCAGCACTCATTCTTGAAAGAGATAGAGGATAGGTGAGCGCAGAGAAGGATGCTCTCCCTACCTTCACCATCAAGGAAGAACTTCCTGGGTTTAACTTAAGTCCCATATGGGTATGTATAGGAGCCCTGCTGCCTCTCCCTAAACCCACTTTCTTGATGTGTCTTTATTTCTCCACAGGATATGGCTTGCTCTTTCTGTCATTAGTCATCACACCTATCATCCGGGCCAAACTCTCCAAGCTGGTGGGTGAGTCTGAGCAGGGTAAGTATCAGAATCAGTCTGCATCTTGTTCCTCAAGCCCAGTGTTGGCTGAACTGGGCAGCCAGGCTAGGGAACAGCCTACCTTCCTCCCATCCTGGGGAAGTGGCCAGGATGAATGCACTTCTGTCAGATGGCCTAGGTTCTGGTGGAGGGCTGGGTTTTTGCATTCAGCAGCACTTGATAACTGGCGTGGAAGATTTACTCTTTGCAGACCTCAGTTCTTCCATCCATGATGATTTTAGAGTTTCCTGATTCCTTGGGGTCAGAGTGTACAAACCCAGAGGAAATGAGCAACCTTGTAACCTAGGTTTCATTGTTCCCAATTGTCAGGTGAAGAAACAGCCCCAGAGGGTTAACTTGATTCAATCAAGGTCACTCAGTAAATGGTGGAGCTGGGATGCACACTGAGGTCTATTTTAAGAGCAGTGGGTCTTCTGAGTTGGGGTTCAGCCCTGGCTCTGTCATGGGCCTCAGTTTCCTTCTGTGTAAYGAGTGGTTTGCTCTTGGTGACATCTGCAGGCCCTTCAGCTCTGACAGCCTGACAGTTTAATCTTAATTTCTCTTCGATCATTGCTTATGTGTGCAAACTGCTTATGTGGCATAGCTATAAGACAGCTCCTGTGACCTCTGGATCCTTATACTTTAGTCTGGAAACATCTGCCCTGGACCTGTTGATGGACACCTGGTGGCTTACACAGCCCACCATGGGCTCAGGTGTCTCCAGAACCCAGCTGCCATCATTCACTCACTCAGTAAGCTTCTTCCCAACACTTTTCACTGTGCCCAGACATGTCAAGGGGAAAAGGAGAAAACAGCCTTTATTTACTAGCTACCTCCAGCAGGCACACTGGGATACRTGTTTTAAGTTGCTGACAAACTTTGAAATAGTTGTTAGGCTTATTTCACAGGAGGGGAAACAGAAACCCATCAGGATAAGCCACTCTTCAGTGATCACAACCATGAGTATTGGAACTGGGAATCATATCAGCAGTTAATGCCAAACAGAAGGTGATTCCAAAGAGAATAACCCCCTCCCCCAAACACCATTTCTATCAGGCTTTCATTAGAAGCTATCACATGTACTTTTATTGGGGATTTAAAAGCAGTTCACTAATGTAGTCGCCCTTTTGTGGGGGATGCTTTTCATGCATGACATTATTGAACCTTTATCGTGATGTGGTAGGATTTACAGGTGAGGGAGATGTTAAGTGACTTGCCCTGGGTCTCACAGCTGTGAAGTGGTGTGGTGGTACCAGGATTTTACCCTGAATCTTTTGAATCTGGAACTTGGCTTTTTTTTTTTTTTTCCTTTTTCCTTCCTGTTTTGGAGGTTGAACCCAGGGCCTTGCACATGATAGGCAAGTGCTGAACCGGTGAGCTTCACCCCAGCCCTCAGAGTGTGGCATTTATTTCTTTGCAGGTGCTCTCTTTTCCGCTATGGCCTGTGTGAGCAGCTTGGCCATGCTGGCAGCCTCCGGGATCTTCAACTCACTCTATCCAGCCACTCTGAACTTCATGAAGGGCTTCCCCTTCCTCCTGGGAGCTGGTCTCCTCTTCATCCCAGCCATTTTGATCGGGTAATGTAGGCCCCTAAACCCATGCTCATAATGGAGCCCTTTATCTTCAAAGGTTTCCTCTTCCTCCTACTCCTACCTGGAAATGGCAGCATCATTTCTACCTCTTCTCCCGTGGGTGTCCCCTCCTGGCTGATTGCCCCCTTGCAGATGSCTGCCTAATCCTCCAGGAGCCATTCTCCAAGGGCCAGGCAGAGGGGCAGGTAGGGAAGGATCAGGCTAATTTGTGGCCAAGCTGTTACCTCCCCAGGTCCCCTCACTTCCTTCCATTCCCATTTTACAGGTGGAACTATGGGCAGCAGAACTGTGTTAAAGGGACTCCACAAAGTTTCCTCTGTCCTGGTGGCTGGGGCATAGGCTAGCCCAACTCACTGACTTCTTCTCCCATTGTCTCTTTTATTGTTGGCACTGGAGATTGAACCTGGAGTGCATTACCACTGAGCTACACCTCTGTCCCTTTTTATTTTTATGAGACAGGGTCTCACTAAACTGCCCAAGCAGTCCTCCTGCACTAGCCTCACAAGTAGCTGGCATTCTAGACCACGAGCCACTGTTGACTTAAGAGTTATTTTCGAGAAACATCTGTCACTGGATAATGTCCTTTACCTTGCATATTGGGAAGGGAGGAATTCAGGAGAGGACACTGGGACAGCCCACCTGAGTGAATCCTGTGTCACTTTTCCAGACAGGAGTCTAGGATTGTCAAATCGGAACCCTCTCTCTGTTCTTTTACAGGATGCTGGAGAGGGCTAATCCTCACTCTGAATTCCAGAACATTTCCTAGAACCCCTGATCTGCCTGTGCCAAAGGGCAGAGGGCAAGAGGAGCAGAATGAACACACTGACTTCGAGTCTGCATCTGGGAGCCAGCCCACAGCTGAGCTGCAGCTCCCCTCAAAGGGCAGCGCTTCTTAGACAAGGTGGTCAAGCTCATTCAAGGTACTACCTGGTCCAGAGCTGAGCCAGCCTCTGTCTAGAATTTAGAATCCCAATCTGACAGGCCCACTCCAGGGCAGGTCTGATTACCTTTTATGCCATCCATCACTTGGAACCCTTTAGGGGAGGAATCCTGATGGAGTGAGACCTCAGGGAGCAAGTGGAGTGTGTGGGCTGGCATCTCTCCTTCCAGCCCAGACTGCACAGCCACATGTTCCTGATATGTACAGCAGCTGCCAATCATTCCTTAATGATGACTATATTATCCAATTAGTGCCAGCCTTGGGGAGGTGGGGGAGGGGTTGGGAGAGGATGGCTCCCCTAGAGAAAGAATGCTACTGTCGCTGTGGATGGACTCAATCCTTGACTACAACCTTTRCACCCCTGGGCTTAACTGTGCCAATCACAATAAATTAATTGAATCAAACCAAAAGGAATCTTCCAGTCCTTAAGGCATTGTATTTGGGGCCCTCTGTTTTCCTGGTCTGCTTACCATAGGTCAGACTCCAGCCATCTGCTGCTGCTGGGCTGGGAGGGGAGCCCCTGGGCTACCTGTGGGGTTGGTCCTGGGTGTGGCTATCCGGCTACCTCAGGCTTGCCACTCTTACCTCCTGAGCTGTCAGGTGATAAGCTGCAAGACTTGCAAGAGGCCAGCTGGAAACCTTGGGCAGGGCTCTGGCTGCCTCTTACTGAGGGTCAGTGAGATGCACTTTCCAGAAGCACCTACGCTGATCTTCCTGGCTACACCAGGCAGGATCAGTTTTCGTTGACACAGCCCTCTGACACCTGTCGTTGCTGTGTGCTTCAGCAGTCATGTGCCAAGCCCATCCCTGTGTCTCTGTAGGTCTACTGGGAGCTGAACCTGATTTTCCATATGGTTCATGGACCAGAGCTTCCCAGAGAATGAGGGACCCATTTCTAGGGAGGTAAAAAGGTCTGGACCTGAAGTTGAAAGGCAGAATCTTATTTAATATTAAAGCACTGGCTTTGATGAGGACCCATAAGTCCCCTAGCAGACCCAAATCGGGCTACTTCAGTCTTCAAACCATAACTGCCCATGGGGGCTTGGCCTGCTGCCATTTTTTCCCTACTTTCTCATCTGCCCTGTTAGCCAGTTTGCTGGATGAAAAATTACACAGGTGAAATGGGTAGTTCAGGGCTGGCTAGAGCCCCTGCAGCCTGGGCCCTTGTTGCCAGACTTCTGCCTCCCTGACCCCCGCACCATGGGGCTGAGCTGGCCTGAAGCYGGGCTCTACTCTGGCTAGCTGTGTGACTTGAGCAGTCTCCTCTAGGAAAGGCTAGATCAGCAATGCCCCCAAATAGTCTGAATGTGGGGACCACACCTGGATGGACCTTCCAGGACACATTCTAGGATGAGATGCCTATCTTCATGGGCTAAAGAGAAGGATGAATGAATTGTGGCTGGACTTTTGATTTCTGAATGTCCCTGAGAAGCTCTTGGAGGGACAGGTGAGGTGGGGTAGGGACCTTGTTGACTCAGCCTTAACCTGGGGGCAATGCCTATAGCCCAGACAAGCAAAAAACCTTGACTCTGCAGACCTGAGTCAGAGCAGGCTGTGGGAGGGGTGCTACTTCTGAGCCCTATCTCAGGACGAGCTCTAAGGTGGAGGTTGAGGGCCCAGCTGTTTGCCCTAGCTGCAATCTGAGCAATGTTTGACATGGCAGAGGAGGCCACCACCCCTGAACACACTGGCCTGGCTGGGACAGGTTCATCAGTTCAGTTGCTCTGTCTGGAGCTAGAGATAGGCTCCTGATTCCCTGGAAAGACAGAGGACGGGGCAGAAGGCTGGACWGTGGAGGTGGACAGTGGTAGAGCATGTGCTTGAAGAAAAACCAGGAACTTCTCTGAGTACTACCCATAGGGACAAAAACCTATCCCCTGCTGCTAGATTCTCTGGAGCATGGGAGAAGGCCCAGAAAGATCCCCCTGGGAGTACGCAGACGCTATATTAATGACTGCTGTGTGAGGGCAACATCCAGTCTGCTTCATCTGTCACATCCAGGACAGAATCCTGGGCTTGAACTAGCATGCACTTGGGCTGAGTATCTGGGAGAGGATGGTGTATGGTCAAAGCCAGAATTAGGCCAGGATCCACTTAAGACAAGGGGAGGGTGGAAAGTGGAAGGAAGGAGTCCCAAGCCTGCAATGAGATCTTTGGCTTCCTGATGATGTGGTCCAAAAGCAAGGAGAAACCTGGCCAGCTCTGCAGGGCTGGGGTCTAGGAGCTGAGCCAGCCCTGAGGTGTGAACCCACTAACCCCAGAAGGAAGTACAGGGAGGTAACAGCCGACCCCACTAGCTGGAGCGTGGGTTATTGGAGGGAGGGCATTTCTTGCCCTCCTACTCCAGTGGAGGGAGGGCCACAGAGACATTCCTCCCTAGCTATTTCTGTATGACCCCTGGGTCAGCCTTTTGGCTAAAACCTATCCCCYGCTGCTAGATTCTCTGGAGCATGGGAGAAGCCACAGCCCTGCAGAGGTTCATCCGCCAAGACGATTCTCAGGAATCATGAGCCCAGTCCATCTGCAGTGGCCAGGGTGCTGGGATACCTGGCTCTGAATCCTGGGGCTACCAATAATCATTTGAAAAATGGGATTTATCACTCGGTCTTTCTTCCTTACCTTCCAGTACAGGGGGACAGTACTGGACAGGGTTGCTGTGATGATTACAGAGACCAGGAGTGGAGTGTTTGGGAAATGACAAAAAATTTGTGAAGGACTTTCTGCTCAGTGTGGTCCCTTGACCGCCTGCATCGGTTTGCCCAGGGATTTGTGGGAAATGCAGACTCTCAGGCCCTGCCTCAGGTCTCCTGAATTGAATTTTAACAAGATTCCTGAATGCACTTGACATTGGGAGAAACTGCTAGGTCTTCACCCTTGCCCTTCAGGATCTTGCCTCTTCCCACAGAGCTGCAGGTGCTGTCCAGGCTACTGGGGCTGCCGGGGTGAGGGTGGGGGTGCCTGGTCCCCCTCTTCCCTGAGCAAATGGGTGGGAAGCCCTGGGTGGGTGAGGAGCTGGGGAAGCCAGTAGGGCCTGGGTGGTCAGGCATCTTAGGCAGAGCACCAAGGCCTGGGGTAGGTGGGCTTTGAGACATGGCCTCCCTGCCCAGAACTGGGCCCTGGGAGGAGGCTCCCATGCACAAGCACAGCAAAGTAGCAGAGGCATATACAGCCTGTGGGCCGGCTCAGCTCAACCTTGACCCCAGCTGTGAGGAAGGCTGGGAGGGGCACTGAGTGGTTATAGGGCAAGGCCACAAGACAGTAGGAAGTGGCATCAGGGCCCACAAACAGCCATTGAGGGGCCTGTCCATGGCTGCCTCCCAGGACCAGGCCCTTGCCCAGGGTCTGCACATGGCCCTGATTTCTGTCAGAGGCTGCCTACTCAAGCCGGCTGCTCTCAGGGTGGCATATGAGAGAATATGCCATGACCCTCCCCTCAGTCTCCTGCGTTTCCAGAACTTGGCAGGGACACAACTCTGAGGATGGGAGACAGAACCTGATGGCAGGGCCTGAGGGAGGAGGAACCCCCACACCCAAGCCCAGCTTCCTTCCCTTTCCACATACTGAGGAAGGGGGTGTTGAAGTGGGCCATGAGGGTAGGGGACAGGGAGAGCCATTTCCTGAGAAGAGCCCAGGCTGACTCTGTTTAAAGAGCTGTTCCTTCAGGGAGGAGCATGGAAATGGGAGACACAGCAGGGACTGGGAACTGGAAACTGGTTAAGGTGGGCCCATGGGTGCAGCACCCTCCAAACTGGTGTCAGAGCCTGCAGATGAGTCCCGGGAGGAGCGACCCTGCAGGAAGCGGATGATCTTCTCAATGGTGGCCTCCTGGTACTCATGGGACCACCTGTGGGCACAAGGACCATGGGATCAGATGGCTGCACAGATGGAGCTGCTGGCCAGGGGCCTGTTTGCTTTACCCCCCTGCTGCCTCTGTAGGGGTGATGTGTACCCACTCCCCTTGGCTTTCATTCCCTGGGGCCCTGGGGCTCACTTGATGCCGTTGAAGGTAAGCACAGCCTGCATGTCCTCGGGCAGAGCCTGGGGCTCAGGCCACTCAAAGCCATCAATGACGGGCACAATGTTCTTGCCACAGCTTAGAGCAGTCACAATCTCCTAAAGGGAGAAGAGAAAAGAGGAAGAAACCCCTGTCTCTTCTAGGAACCCGAGGGCCAGATAGGTGCTGGGGCAGTGGGGAAGTGGGGTGCTGGCCTGGGACTGAGCCCGAGGCAAGACACTGGGCTTCAAATCCCCCCAACTTCTCCTTCACCCCCCTACAGTGAAAAAAAGATTTGATCTTGGGACAGAGCTGGCACTGAGCTCCTAAACCCACTACAGTTTCCTGAGTGATAAGAGTACATCTTCTGCTAATAAGATAACTCCCAGCCAGGGGTGAGCCGGGGCAGTGGCCAAGAGAGTCAGGAAGAGGGCTGGTCACCAGAAAGACCCCGGCATGCTTAGGTGACGTCTGGAGAGGGGCTGCAGGTTAGGTTCAATACCCATGACCAATGATTGAACAATCATGCCTATTTAATAAAGCATGCATCAAATCCTCTAAACAATGGATTTAAAGAGCTTCTGGGTTGGTGAAGAAGCCAGGAAGTGGTGCCAGGGAGAAAGTAGGGAAGCCCCTTGCCCTCCTTACCCTGCCCTGTGATTCGTTTCCATTTGGCTTTTCCTGAGTTGTGTCCTTTATAGTAAACCCCGCTAAGAGTAAGTCAAGGGTTTTCTGAGTTCAGTGAGTCATAGAGAAAAACTGAACTGGGCTGGGTGGGTGGTGATCATGAGAACTGCCAAACTGATAGTCAAGTCAGACAGGGGTGGCCTAGGCACCCAGGACTTGTGACTGAAGTCAGGGTTTGTGGGACTCAGCTCTTCAGCCTGTGGAGTTGGACACTCCAGGTTCAAACTCAATTGAAGGACACCCCCTTGGTGTCAGAAAATTGATTAGTTGTTAGTGTAGGAAAAAACCCATATAATTTTCTGTCAAAGAAATTCATCTCACCCCTGCATCTGTGTGGCTCCATCATGAGCCCTGCCCATTGTACTTCTTACTTATTTCTCAATTCCACATTTTTCTCTACCTATACCCTGCCCAGCCTTGTCCAACCCCATTCTATTTACCAGGTCTCTCCTCATCCACCCTTGCTCCTCTAATTTGTTTTCCAAAATGCCTTTTCACCTGAATAATCTCTGAAAAATGAAAAATCTGACATATCTGATCATGTCACATCCTACTTAAAACTCCTCAAGACTTTGTCTCTTAGAATAAAGACGAAACTTTCTAATGCAGACTGTGTGGTTGGCCACAGCCCATCTCTTAATCTCTACCCCTTCCCCATCCTCCCAGACACACAGAACCTACACCCTCAGCTCTGTTATCTTCCTTCCCTGCAGAGGGCTTCTGCCTATGCTGTTTCCTCTGCCTTGAAYGTGCTTCTCTGCCCTTTCACTTACATCCCCACATCTTTCGAATTTGAGTTCAGTCAACAATTTTTTTAAAATATTTTTTTAGTTGTTGATAGACCTTTATTTAAAAAAAAATTGTTTCTGTGGTGCTGAGAATCGAACCCAGTGCCTCACACATGCCAGGCAAGTGTGCTACCACTGAGCCCCAGCGCCAGCCCTCAGTCAACACTTTTCTAGGGAAGTTGTCCTGTTTCCGTGACGTGACCAAGTCAGCTTCCCCTCTCATATACTCTCAGGCTCTGCAGCCCAGGCTACAGTTGCAGATTTAAATTAATTAACATGTAGTTTACCTAATRTTTGTTTTCTCTGCCAAATAGAAGGGCAGGGGCTGTGTGTGTTTTTTACTCACTTTTTTAGCATCTTTCCCAAAGTCCTGCCCATGGTCAACCCTCGCTAACTATTTGACTGATGGATGAAAGAATGAAACAATGAATGAATGAACAAAGCAACACAGCCCAGCAGTTAGGGGGCTGCACTCTGGAATCATCAGATCTAGGTTCCTAGTGAGTCTCTGACACAAGCTCTGTGACCAGAAGCAAAAATAATGGGGTCTCAAAAGTTTCTGTTTTCTAACATATAAAATAAGGTTAATGACAGTCCTGTATCTTGTACGATTGTTGCATAAAATAACTGCAATTTTCCACGGCAAGTGCTGAGCGCAGTGCTGAGCATGTAGTGAATGGTTAAGAAGTAATCGGTGTCCTTATTTCCTCTGTAAAGTGGAAATAAAACCTACCTCACTGGGTGGTTCTGATGGTATTTCTTACTATTAATGGCACTCTGGTAAGTGCTTATTGAATGTTTTTCCTTTCAGGGGGGAACCACAGGGATATGACTTTCTTGAGTGCAGTTCACTTGTGGTTTTCCAGATCGATTACCCACCAAATGTGGCTTCAGGGAAAGGAGGATTAAAACCAGAAGCAATTAAGCATTAAAAATGACCAGAGAGGGATGATGGAGCCTTTGGGACCAGTCCAAGGCAAATGCTGTCACCACTCTGCCTCCCACCTCCCCCTCACTGTCTGTTGGGACAATGGGTGTCAAGCACCCTTGTGGGGTGGAGACTTTCTGGAGAAAGAATCAGCCTAACTTCAACCCTGACTGGCTTCTGGGAGCCTCTTGGTTTTACAGCTGAAGAGAAGGAAGCTTAGAGAAAGGAAAGGACCCCCCCAACAATCACCCAAACACCCACTCCGGGAGGGGCCAGGCCTGCAACTGGAGCCTTCAGAGCCTAAGTCCAGGCCTGTTTCAACCAAGCCCTGCTGCGTCTCTGCTGAGCATCTGGATGGATTTCGATCCTGTCACAGTTTAATCACAAGTCTTTAGAATAATTTGTTTCATGTAAAATTACATACAACCAAAGAGATTGCTCTGTGCAGATTCAGAGACTGGCTAAGGAAGGGATAATGACTTGTTCAAGATCCCTCAGCTGACTAGAATGAAAAGTTAAGGACAAGTCTTCTAACCTGGTAAACTTAGTAGATGCACATCAAAATTATTCATTTGTTTAGTCATTGGGTCAATTATTCTATAAACTTTTTTCCTGGTACTAGAGATTGAACCCAGGAGTGCTTTACCAGTGAGCCACATCCTCAGCCCTTTAAATTTTTTATTTTGAGACAGGGTCATTCTAAGTTGATGAGGCTGGCTTTGAACTTGTGACCCAGCCTCAGCCTCCCAAGTTACTGATATTACAGATATGTGCCACTGCACCCAGCTCTATACACTCTTTCGAGCTTCCTTTGAACTCTCATGGAGCTCACAGACACTTCCTCTCTCAGAAGGCTACCTGCCACCTGTTAGAAGGCTGCCTGCTCTTGGTCATCAGCCATGTTCCTCCAGGATGTCTTCCTGGTCCAGAGCCTCCTCCTGAAACCAGATCCAGTACATGCCTCCTCCTGCATGGCTTCTGGAGCTAGGCCCTCCCCGCAACTGCCAATCTGGACTACTCTAGTGCTTCCATCCAAACACCCATTGCCTGTCTCCCCCATCACAGGCTCCCTGTTTCCCAGTGCTTCAATCACAGATCTTCTCTCTGCCTTAGACTCCATAACCTGGTTCCATAGTTCTTATCCAGCCAGCAGTGTGCTGGTAAAAGTATAACAACTAGCTCTCTATAGAGGAAAACACCCACCCAACCAAACAAACAAACAAAAAAGCCATCTGAATGTGGTGGTGCATACCTGTAATCCTAGCAACTTGGGAGGCTGAGGCGGGAGAATGGCAAGTTCATGGCCAGCCTCAGCAACTCTGTCCCAAAATAAAAAACAAAAACAAAAACAAAAAAACAGAAAAGGCTGGGGATATAGCTGAGTGGTAGGGCACCCCTAGGTTTAATCCCCATTAAACACACACACACACACACACACACACACACACACACACAGATTGGTAATGGTTGCCAATTTTCTTGATGTAAATATTCCCATCACATGATGTCACTGGATGTGAAGCTGAGAGCAGGTGCAGACAATCAGCTTTGGTGTCAGCAGAATCCAACCCTACCTACCATCTCCCTTCCTACCAACTCAGATCGGCAGCATGGACCATAGTGCAAGTCCTGGGAAAGAACACAGGCTTTGGAGTCAGACAGAGAGAGTCTAAGACCAGATTTTCTGACTTCTATACTGGCAGTCGTGGTCATGTGAAAATTACTGTATTTCTCTGAGCTTCAGTTTCTTCATCCGTGAGACAGATCGATCAATACTAGTGGTTCATACGGGTTCCTTCCTTCACTCATGCTGTTCCCCTGCCTGGGATGCCTTCTCTTCCACTTACCTACTCTTCTCAAGTCCTGCTTCCTCCATTAAAACTTCCCTGATTATTCCAGCCCTCGTTGATCCCTCCCTTCTCCATATTCCACAGCAAGTAACAGGTTCATCTACCTAGCTTGGCATTTATATCAACTTATATATGATCTTGGCAATGAGAGAATATGCTGTGTGTGTGTGTGTGTGTGTGTGTATGAAGAGACAGGGGTCTCACTATGTTGCCCAGACTGGTCTCAAACTTTTTCCTGCCTCAGTGATCCTACTGCCTCAGCCTCCAAAGTGGCTGGGATTCATGTGTGAGCCACCACACCTGACTCAGGGATGGCACATTCTTATCTCATGAACTGCTTGAACACAAGGACTCCATCTTAGATAACTACTGCATCCCTTAGCACCAACCTTCAATTCTTATTAACTGATTAATGATTATGTTTCCATCTACCCATTCATTCTATAAGTATTCTTCTTTTTTATATATACTAGAGATTGAACCCAGGGGTGCTTAACTACTGAGCCATAAGTTCAGCACTTTTCATTTTTTTTATTTTGAGACAGGGTCTCACTAAGTTGCTTAGGGCCTTATTAAGTTGCCAAGGCTGACCTGGAACTTGCAATCCTCCTGCCTCAGCCTTCCAAGTTGCTGAGATTATAGATGTGCACCTCTACAACCAGCTATTCTATAAATATTCTAAGTTCCTATTATGTGTCATACATTGAATATATAATGGTGAATTAAACAGATACAATTGGCATAATAATAATAATAACTGTCATTCTTGAGCAATCACTATGTGCCAGACATTCTGMTAAGCACTTCAGTTTAGCTCTTTTAATCCTTGTAACAGTATCCTAGGGAGTTGCTACTATTATTGTCTCCACTTTACAGTAATAAATATGAAGTTCTTTGGAGTTAAGTAATTTGCCCAAGGCCAGAGCCAAGATCCAAACTTCCAGTTTTATGCTCTTAACAATGATTCCTGTCTGCCTGTCACTGTACTCTCTTCTGCCTCACAGAGGTTATTTTGTAAAGCATTTTCATCCCTCTCTGACACTCACATAATCCTACAAGGTGAACAGCATGGGTAAGTTATCCCCTTTTGTAGATGAGAAAAACGGAGGTTCAAGATCCTAAGTGGAGGCTGGGGTTGTGATTCAATGATAGACTGCTTGCCTAGCATGTGTGGGGCACTGGGCTCAATCCTCAGCACCATATAAAAATAAAATAAACGTATTGTGTCCACCTACAACTAAAAAATAAATTTAAAAAAAAGAGAGATCCAAAGTGGTTTGCTAAAGCTGCATTCCAGTCAGAGCTGTGGCTCCCAACTTCCAGCTGGGCCAGAGAGGTGTTCTGGGGCCAAGTGTTGCTGGGTGTGTAGAAAAGAAGGGATAGAAGGGGAACTCAGTCCCCTGGGCCTGGGGCCAGTACTGGGATGGCAGAGGCACAGGTCAACACCTACCTTGTGCACCCAGTCCTTGCAGTCATGGTCCAGCATGCACTTGTCCAGAGCCCCAGGTGACAACACCAGCACAAAGTTGCGGGCATTCATGACGCTCTGGATGAGCTTGTCCTCAAACTTGCCCGCTTCTAGCTTCTCCACATCGATAAAGACACTGAAGCCATGCAGCTGTAGGTGCACCTTCAGGAGACTGCAGAGAGGCCCTGTGTCACCACCCTGGCCTCTCCCCAAGGCCCAGGATGCCTGCTGCCTACCCCTCCTTACCTGGCCAGCTGGGAGCCTGAGTTTCTTCGGTAGCTGATGAAGACATCTGGGATGTCCCCGCCGGGCTTGCAGCCAGTACAGGGCAGTGGGGAGTGTAGCATTTCTGAGGCCAATAAGAGAGAAAGCATGGTGAGGGCAGTCCCTCCCCACCACTTACCATGAAGTCCACCATACCTTGGGGACTTGGTCCTGTGTCTACCCAGCCCTCTCAGCCCAGCCTGGACAAGGTAGCTTGCTTCAAAAATGGTGACTGAGGTGGAGATATGGGGCCTACAGGAAGGAAGGCCATTGATGAGTCCCTCTCAGAAGGTACATTGACATGGACTTCCAGCCTTGTCCTCTCTCTGGAACTGCAGACCTGCACAGCCAGCTGCCCACAGGCACTCCAAACTCAATACAGCCCAGGTCCTCCCCTCGCCCCTTCATTCCAGTTTCCACCAGAAACCTGGGTATTTTATTTATTCAATAAATATAGATTTTGGGGCTGGGGTTGTGGCTTAGCAATAGGGCACTTGCCTAGCATGTGCAAGGCCCTGGATTCGATCCTCAGCACTACATGAAAATTTTAAAAAATAAAGGTTCTGTGTCCAACTACAACTAAAAAATAAATATTAAAATAAATACAGATGCTTCTCCACTTACAATGAGGTTACTACTTCCTGAAAACCCATGAAAACCCAACTTGAAAATATCATGTCAAAATGCATTTAAGCTTGGCGTGGTAGAGCATGCCTATAATCCCAGTGGCTCTGGAGGTTGAGGCAGGAGGATCAGAGTTCAAAACCAGCCTCAGCAACTTAGTGAATTGCTAAGCAAATCAGTGAGACCCTGTCTCTAAATACAAATAAAAAAGGGCTCAAGGGTTAAGCACCCTGGGTTCAATCCCTGGTACAAAAAACAACAAAAAAAAAAAAAGAAAGAAAAACAAAGAAAAAAGTATTTAAGGCTGTGGATGTGGCTCAGAGGTTAAACACCCTGGGGTTCAATCCCCAGTACCAATAAATTCATAAAAATAAATAAAAATGCATTTAATACATCTAGCTTTTTGAATATTGCAATTTAGCCTCAGCACCAAGCACCCTGCTCTATGGTTTCTACTTAGCCTCAGGGTCCTATGTGCAGATCCCTGACACTCTTCACCTCAATGGGCTCCCAAAATCCAGCTAGGATTGTCCCATCTAATTCATTTTTCACACCATCCTTCTTTCTTTCTTTTTTCTTTCTGCAGTGATGGGGATAGAACCCAGGGCCTCACACATTAGGCAAACACTCTCCCACTAAACTACATCCTCAGCCACCATAGGGGTCTTTCTAAAACCCAAACCTAACCTAAGCATGTCACTGCCCCATTTAAAAACAGTGCATGCTGGGCATGGTGGCACATGCCTATAATCCCAGCAACTTGGAAGGCTGAGGCAGGAGGATCACAAGTTCAAAGTCAGCCTCAGCAACTTAGTGAGGCACTAAGCAACTCAGTGAGACCCTGTCTCTAAATAAATACAAAATAGGGCTGGGGATGTGGCTCAGTGGTTGAGTGCCCCTGAGTTCATTACCCAGTACCAAAACAAAACGACAACAATTACAAACAAACAAACAAAAAACCACCTGAGCATGGCTCCTTATTCCCTAGAGAAACTATTTTTTTGAAAGTTATTTTTGCCCTAGACCTTCCTGGTTTTTAAAAAATATTTATTTTTTAGTTGTAGTTGGAACAATATCTTTATTTATTTATTTTTATGTGGTGTTGGGGATCGAACCCAGGGCCTCGCATGTGAGCGCTCTACTGCTGAGCCACAAGCCCAGCCCTAGACCTTCCTGTTTTTAAAAAAAAAAAAAAAAATAACAATAAACTCTTAGAATTTTGTTGAGAGCTGTAATGTAAAAATGATAAAAACTGACCTTGGTTGAAGCAAAAGAATGAAACCAAGGCCCAGTCCCTTGGTGCCATGTAGGTGCTTAGTACCTACTTGCTGAATGAATGGGTATAATTCTTCTTCCTATAAGATTCAGAATTAACACCCACAGATATTTTTCTGTTTATGAAGCAGAAAAACAGGGGCTCAAATCCCAATTTTGTCATCTTTTGGCTTTTATAACCTTGGGAAATTAAATGCTTTAAATCTTAATTTCATTATCTTTAGAAGTAACACCTATGATTGAAATGCTCTATCACTGARTTGTATATTTTCCAAACTCTTCAAATTGGAAACTTACATTTCCAGTTTTTTAAGTCTTARGGCCTCTTTTTATTCTTTTTTAATATATATTTTTAGTTGTAGGGGGAAATAGTACTTTTATTTTGTTTTTATGTGGTGCTGAGGATCGAACCCAGCATCTCAAAAATGCTAGGTGAGCACTCTGCCCCTTGAGCCACAACCCCAGCCCCTCTTTTTATTCTTTAAAAGGTGTATAAAGTTGATTTAAAACGAATTAACCACCCACTGCATAGGATGGTTGTAGAAATTAATGAGGTAATATCTTAAAAATTTAATATTAGTACCTGGTATTGATGATAATTACTACCTAAATAGAAAATTAGTAAGTGAAAATAAGTTTGTAAATAGAGTTTTTAGAGCTCTACTTATATGCCATTGTAAAACACCTCCAGAAACCATACTTTGTAAGCTGGCTACTACCCCATGTATGGGCCCATGCACTGTCCTACTACTATGGCACAAGCTGAGCCCTGGCCTGGGTTGCCCATCCTGCTACCCCATTCCCGCCATACACCCTCAATACTTGGTCCGGTGTCTCCTCTGAAGTTCAGATCTGGGTGAATAGGGTAGTAAGTGCTGCCTCCACTCCCTACTGGAGTCCCGGGTATGCTTCCTGGTAGAACCACCTGGCCGTGTGGATACCCACCTTACTGGATACCCGCCTCAGACTGTGAACTTCCTGAGGGCTACATCTTTAGATCCTCACAGCCCAGTCTGCCATAGCACAGTACTCCATCACTCCCAAGCGGGGCTCTGAGCTCCACCCTGTCTCCCCTGGCCCCTCCAGCCCTCCAGGGCCGGGGCTGGGGTGGGGTCCCTGGAGTGTGGGCTGACCTCTGGCAGCTGAGAGGATGCGAGCTCGGTGCACGCCCACGCGGATGCCACAGTCTTCCAGCAGCTGCTGTTCTGACACGCGGTGCAGCAGGGAGCGGTCCAGGCCGCAGCTGACCAGGCCATAGGTGTACTGTCGGAAGCGCGGGTCCAGGCTGCCCAGCCAGTCGGCCAGGTTGCTGCGGTCGCATGTAGCATAGTTGGCGAACGTCTTGAGTTCCGTAAGCTCTCTAAAGAACCTGCACCACAGGAGGAAAAAATGCTGAGATCCTGACTCAGGACTGGCTAGTGGCCATGCAGGCAGTTAGTCAGACCTGGTAGGGTCCTGCTGGCTCGGGGCTCCCCTTACCTCTTGCGGGTGATGCTAGATTTCATGCCCAGGTCGGCTTGGAGTTCCTCCTCTGTGAGCCGAAGAAGAAGGTCGCCATCTACCTGCTGCTCCTGGAGGAGAAGTCAGATGTGAGGAAGGACTCCCCTCCCCCACCCCCAAATTTCAAGCACAGACCCAAGGGTAGGAAACTGGAAGTGGCAGTGGAGGAGGTGGATGGGACCCAGAGCAGAGATGAGGGATTTCCAGGATGAGTGCAGGCTCCCCATCCCCAAAAGGGCACCATGGCGCCTGGAGCCTATGGGGCCACAAAGTATGCAGTCGCTTGTGCTTATGGGGACCCTAGCGACCCTGTGGCTCTCAGGGAAGCGCTCGGTCCCACTCGGGGAAGCCCGACCCCGAGACTCTACCCGGAAGCTCTCGCAGTAGTGGGAGAAGCCGATCTGCTGCAGCCACGTTTGGACCTCGGCCTCCTTCCAGCTGGCCACGGAGGGCAGAATGCGCCGCGGCACCTCCTCGCCCAGCAGGCGCAGTGCGCGCTTCGCCAGCGCTGACGTGGTGCCATTAGTGGAGTAGGAAACGAGGCGTTTCAGGCTCTGGATAGCGCCAATGTCGCTGAACACCTATGGAGGAGGGGAGGAGAGGACGTCTAGAGTCCGCCAGCTCACCAGCCACTCCCAGACATGCCCGGTCCTTCCCACTCCTCTTATCTCTCTGCTGAGAATCCCCTCTGCCTCAATCTGCCCCAGCCCTGCCTTCATCCACTGTCACCTGGTCCTGTGGAGTCTCCCTTGTGAAGTTCACTGGACTCTTGACCAGGTTCCCCTCACCTGTCTCTTCCACAGCTTCTACCCACCTTGGGATGAAGTCTGAGCTCTCAGCCTGGCCAACAGCCCACAACACCCAGCTCCCTTCACATACCTACTAAGGTGCTCACACCTTAGGTCTACACCCATGGTGTCTCCAAACTCTTAGTTCTTTCAGCCTGTTTGTGGGAAACCTACTCATCCATCAGAATCCAAATGATTAGCATCTATTCTGTGAGCTTGCTTTGATTCCTCCATAGCTTGGGCCACACCTCCAAACAGGACTTGTATCATGCTCTGAATGTCACTGATACTACTGGATAATGCAATTCCCATTGGATTATAAGGTAAGGACATGCTTGGTCACCACTGAAGCTCTGTGCCTGGTACAATGAAGGACATAGACTGGGAATTCCATATATCTTTGTTGAAGTGCACTCATTTGTCCTTCATGGGAAAGGGGTGACAGAGCTATTGGTCACAACTCCTGCCTAGACCCAGTCCTTGGGGTCCCCGCTCCCTACACCCATCCAAGGCCCTTCTCCCAAAGTAGAATGATGTGCTTTATAGAGCAAGTCTCATGGCTCAACTCTGGGACTCAGAGAGAAGAATCAGAAGCTCCTAGAAAATTAGATATTCAAAGAGACCTCAGAGATTCCTAACACAGTCTCTTTTTGCCTGAAGGGACACATGTGATGAGTGACCATCATGTGAGACGCATTCCTCTGAGCACCCATGAATGACAGCTGTGGGTGCAGAGAGAGTAGGCCATGGGTATACCACTCCCTGCGCACTAGCTGTTACCAACACCCAAGGCCTCCAGAGGACTGCAAAATAGAGAAAGTAACATTATAGGGATAATCTTGAACCAGTAATATTTTAAAAATATTAAATATTTAAAATATTTAAATAATATTTAAACTACAAACTTTGGATGATGAAACTATTACTAGCCCCACAACTAGGGTAAAAACTGCAATCTGTGGTCCGACCCCTTCAATTTTCCAAAGGATAAAAATGAGCTCCAGAAAGGGAGAGAAGGTGCCCAAGGTCACATACAAAGTTAAAGCAGTAAGCAAAAGCCATGGTTTAGACCTTGGTGGTAGGGACTTTTTGGGACAAAAATGAGAGGTTTTTGTTTGTGCTCTTGGGTACTGGAGATTAAACCCAGGGCCTTGTACATACTAGGCAAGCACTCTTTCCTGAGCTGTTTATTTCATTTTGAGCAGGGTCTTACTAAGTTGCCTAGGCTGGCCTTGAATTTGCCATTCTCCTGCCTCATCCTCCAGAGAAGCTGGGATTACAGATGTGTGCCTCCACATCTAGCTGGTGAGAGTTATTTGGCTGTCACACTGATGTCCTACCCCAAGCCTCTGACTCCAGTCACCATCTCTGTTCAAGATTCCAGAACCCAGGTGGCTAAAGTGCCCACTGAAGCTTGCCAGCCGGGCATCTCTCAAGTACCTCCAACTCAACATGACCCAATGCATTCACTTTCTTCCTCTCACCAACTTTGCCCTGTCTTTCACCCAGTTTACCACATCCACTGGGCCGCCTATGTTCATGGCCAGAGGCCTCCCTCAACTCTTCTTTCTCCTCCCAAGCACCAAGTTGCAAACTCCATTCCTAAACATTTCTTGAATGCTTCTCTCTGTCACTGCTCACACCCCTGACATTCCTTGTCCCATGTCATAGCCTTCTATTAGGTTCCTTTACCTCCAGTCTCACCCTTACCAACGCCCTTTCCACACAGCAGCCAGAATGTTGTTTAACAAACACAAGATCCCTGTTTTAAAAACCAAATCTTCCTCTTGCTCCCCAAACCAAGTACAAACTCTGAGTCTTGCCTTCAAAGCCCAAATGACTGGCCCCTCAACTTTTATGTTGCTTCATTTAATTATTTTATTTATTTAGTTAGTTAGTTTTTGGTTTTAGGTGGACACAATATTTTATTTTTGTGTTGAGGATCGAACCCAGTGCCTCACACATGCCAGGCAAGTACTCTACCACTGAGCCACAACCCCAGCCCTCATTTAATTCTTAGGTGTACTTCTAGTCCCACTTGAACGTCTCTTCCTCTGGGAAGAAGGTCCAGGCGCTCTCTAACCACTGACCCACCCTACCCTGTACCGCACCTTTGTCTTGCCCTGCAGGCTCTTGATGGCAGCTTCTGCGCAGAGGTAGAAGGCCCCGATGCACTGTGCTTCCAAGCGTGATGAGTCGAGTAGAGGCACTAGGCGCTGCAGGTCATCTGGCCCGCGGCCCTGTCTTGTGTCGCTGGCGTCCACCAGGCAGCGCGCAAAGCGGCCAGGGTCTAGCGAAGCCACGAGTGGCTCCACCAGCGCCAACGTGCCCGAGCGCTCTACCTCGCGCTCCACTTCCTTGTTGGTTGCCAACACAGCCACAGCGAGGCAAGCGTGCAGACGCAGTAGCTCGTCCTCCTTGGAGAAAGCTAGCGGAAAAAGCCACTCAGCCGCGCGCTTTTCTACCATGTGCCGCTGCGCCGCTTGGCCGCCATGCAGCGCGCAGTTAGCCAGCGCCAGCGCGCAGTGGCGCAGAAGTGCAGGGTCTGTGCGGCGGCACCAGAACAGCACCGCGTCCAGGCCTCCAGACCCCACCAGCCGCTGGCAAGTCTCCTCTGAGTGCTTGAACATGTGCTCCAAGATGCCTGCCACACTTCGCGCCAGCTCCACGGGTTCGCGCTCCTTCGCCAGGTTCAGGATCACGCCCAGTCCAATGCGAGCCACACGGTCTCTGCGAGGAAAAAGTGGAAGGGGATGAGAGAGTTACCGCAGGCAGCCTGGGGAGCTTGGTTTTCTCAGTATGGGGGCCTGGTCATTTATCCTCTTAACCTCACTGGTATCACATGAGACATGGAGGACAGCATTATCCTTCCAGCCTCACCCTCACTTCTAGACCTGCAAGGAGCAAGCTTCTCTGAATATAAAGGTGCTCCATCTTGGCTACACCCATCTCTTCGGCATCTCCTCCCCGTGAGAAGCAGTATGCTTCCAGCTCTGAAGCCAACCGCCAGGGTCCCAGGTCCTTCTCTGACATTTTGTGAAGGACCTTGGGCACGGTCCTTTATATCTGTACCTCAGTTTCCTCATTTTATCAACAGGAAAATAAGAACACCTAACTAATAGAATTCTTATCAAGACTCATGAGATAATCCATATACAGTGCTTGGCACCATGCCTCCATAATAAAAAACTCAAATGTTAACTTATGGTCAGTTTAAATGTCACTTGAACTACATCACACTTAGCTCTGCCTTCAAACCCTTCCTCACACCATGTTCCATGATTAAGGCACATTTATTCCTTCACTCACAGATATTTGTTGAGCACATACTGTGTATCATGCTTCTGCTAGAGAGGCTAATGTTAAACAGTGACCAAGGTTTACCCTCAACTAATAAGAAAGTCAACTATTAGCAAGTAACTAGTGTATGAACAAGATCTTAGTGATACAGCCAGGATGCTAGCAACTGGATAATGTAATAGAGCATGCCTGTTGGGAAGATGTACCTAACGAGGTGACATCTGAGAGTTAAATATTGAGAAAATCCTGCTTGCAAATACCAGAGAAGAGCATAACAGTGAGTAAGAAGACCAGGACAAAGGCCTGGAGGCTGATGAGCTCCATCAGGGTTGGCATGATTGAGGAAGAAAAAGAAAGCCAGTTCATGCAGTGTCTAACCCCAACCAGGAAAAACTGAAAATCAGCAAGAGATCATATGGAAAGTGCACAAGTAATATTCAAATCAACATGGAAAAGGCAGTGAATTTGGTAGAAAATGGGCAAAGGACATAAATAGGTAATTTATAAAAGAGGAAATCCAAAATGTAAGCAAACAAAGAGATGCTCTAACCCACTAGTATTCAGAAAATGAATATTAAAACAACAGCTCTCACTTTATGCCTATTAGATGGGCAAAATCATATGCTAGATCATAAGAAGTTGGCAGGGTGTAGGGCTACAAATGTGCTGAGGCACTGTGGGTGGAGGTGCAGGCTGGGGCAGGCAATCTCTCCAAAGAGTGTCCACAGATTAATGAGGGCAGGAGGGTAAGGATGCTAGCCACAGTATTATTTGTGGTGTGAGGAAGTTGAAGTTGGTATCAAGGCCTGAAGAACAAAGGTAATGTGGGTGGGTGCCCAAGGAGGATTTTGGAACAGTAACAAATGACTGAGCAGATGATAACACTGCAACTGGGGTTGGTGCTGGGGTTGAGGGCTGGGGATATAGCTCAGTTGGTAGAGTGCTTGCCTTGCATGTGCAAGGCACTGGGTTTAATCCCCAGCACACACACACAAACAAACAAACAAACAAACAAAAAACAACAAAACCCCCTAATATTGAACACAGTGGTGCACACCTGTAATCCCAGGTCTGTATGTCTCCAGAGTTCAATATCTTTCATCTTTACTTTGTGATTTCAGATATCTGATATGTTAGGGTGTATTTAAGAAATCACCTAATCTAACACTCRTTTTCAAAGGACCTACCTAAGGCCCAGTGAAGGAAAGGGCTTGTTCAGGAATATCAATTCAGAGCTAGGACTTTATTCCAGGTCTCTTTACCTGCAGCCCTTATCTTTCTATATGCACCCGGCACCTTGCCAGAGTTAAAATGTGTGCTGATTGTGGGAACTATTCACTCAGTTCCCAATTCTGTGATCTGAGAGCATACAATTGATAAAAGGGACACATACATAGGATCCATGCAGGTCTAGGTTCAACTCTCAGCTTGAAAAGGGAAATTGTGTATATGTGACTTATACATATATATATGCAAATACTTGAGTAGGCATAGACTTTCTCTGGAAGGATATACAGGAAACTTGCTTTCAGTGCCTTGCCTCTGAAAAGGAGATTTGGCCAGGTGTGGTGGCACACAACTGTAATCCCATTGGTTTGGGAGTTTGAGGTAGGAGGATCACAAGTTCAAAGACAGCCTCAGCAATTTAGTGAGGCCCTGGATTCAATCTGTAGTACCAATAAGCAAACAAACAAATAAATAAAAATGAAGAGGGAGTTTGGTTTGTGAGAGGTTTTAGCTGTATTATTTCTGCACTTTTTGAACTATGTGCAATGTTTTTCTGCTTTTATTTAAAAAGCCTGTTTCCTATATTTATTTATTGTGTAATCTTATGAAAACCATTTAACCTTTCTGAAGTTATATTCATTATGGGCTGTGAATTTATAGGGTTGGTAGTCAAATGGGACCTTCATGGGGTGTTGTGGGGCCAGGTTCAGAGACCCCACCTGTTGGACTTATTCTGGCAGTTTGAGGTGAGGGAAATTTTGGCCTGAGCTTCTGGGCAGTGGGTACAGCACCCCCTGGGAAAAAAAGATGCAAGAATAGGAATGGCAAAAAGAGGTGGGCATACAGGTGGAAGAACTTTCTTTAACAGGAGCTGGTGTGGGGAGGGGTAGATTGGTATAGAAGGAAAAACATTTCATGAACACAAATTGTCATTATGTTGTCCCCCTTCTCTTTCTTCCCACCCAGGTAGTTTAGAGGAACGCATTTCTTGGGAAGGATTTTGATCCTGCACTGCACTCTGTCCTTGGTCCTGAAGTAACACTGGCACTGGTACATGGGTTGTTTCTTGGGACCAGGGACACTGGTTAGTGACTGCTCTCTCAGTAACTAGCACCAAGTGAGGATTGTCATTTTCATCCTTGAGAAATAAAACTGTTTGCATCTTGAAGGCTTTCTCTTCCCAATTCCCAGGGGATTTAGTTATAACTGTCTCAATCCACATGTAAARCCCACACCCACCAACCTGGACCCCACCACACCCAGTGAGCACCCACTCCATTTTTCTAGCCCTCCAAATTCATGACCTATCTCAATCAGGACACATGATGATATATGAGACATTAATGACCTGCTAATCAGAAGCTGATCTTGGTCTTTTAGCTTAAACTGCTTCATTCATGCATTTTTGACAGTTGTATAATTTCCACTAATTGCAAGGTGATTTGTTTCTTTTTGAAAATGGCAAACGCTCCAACACACTCCCATCACACTTGTGAGGACTGCATGACTTGAAAATAACTCTTGCAAAACTCTTCTAAGCCCTAGGAGCCTGAGAATTCAGAAAGAGACTGGAGCGTGACAACCTGAACTGCTGTGGCATCAGAGGGGAGAGAAAGTGAACCCTTGGGTCTTCATGCATCAAGGGAGATGCCTAGAGGGAGGCAAAATAGAAGCAGCTAGGCTCAGTTGGACCCTGCTTACTAAATCTTGGTGCTATTTGGGAAGGAGGAGAGAACACATGCTTTGGCGCCTGCCCAGCTCTGCACCTCCTTTCCTCCGCCCCCACCCATTCACTCGGGCAGAAAACTTTCTGTTCCCCATCATCAGCAGCACAATGAGATCATGTCTAGTCAGGAGAGAAGATAGCATAGAAGGGCATAAAAGGGCACCTAAACGTTCCAAGAGCTGGGTGTAGGTAGCCATTGGCAATAGGATACCATCTCCATCCATAGAACTGAAGACAGGCTCCTGTCCTAAGCTACTGGAGCTGAGTGTGAATCCTCACTGCACCATTAGTTCTCTGTGTGACTCTGGGCAAGTCACTAAACTTTCCTGAGCTTCAGTTTCCTCATTTGTAAAATAGAGGCGCTGATCCCTAATAGAGGTGTAGTGTGGGACTATATTAAGGTGAAGCAGGCAAAGGTACAGTCCAGGCAAACCGGAGACCCAGGCACTCCACCGCTCTGGCTGCCCCACTACCCATGGCACTCACCCCCAAGCCCAGAACCCTCACCGGTTCTCAGCCACCAGGATCTGCTCCAGCAGGCGTGCGGCCTGCACGCGGGTCTCCAGCTCCGGTGCCTGCAGCAGCCGCAACAGCAGGTCGAGGCCGCCGTCCAGGCGGATGGCGTCGCAAAGACCCTGGGCCACCTCRCGGCCCACAGCCGGCAGCAGCCAGGCCTCCTCCACTATCTGGAAGACCTCCGATAGGCCCGCGCCCACAGCCCGAGCGGCGCTCGCCTGCTTCAGCTCAGACAGAGCCTGCTGCAGCTCCGGCAGCGCACGCTCCAGGGCTCCCTGCACCTCGGTGCCCACCCCAGGCGACACCTCGCGGGACCCTCGGTAGCCAGTAGCCCACCATGGGCCCGAGCCACTACCCCCATTCGGCCCCGGCACAGTCAACCGGTCGGCCCCGTTCTGTGGGCCCGACATGGCGAAGAAGCGGCACAGCTTGTAGGCAGAGAGAAGCAGGGTCAGGACCATGGGCACAGAGCTCCGAGGGACATTCCCGGCCTGGAGGGGTGGGGCCGGGAGGAGCGACCTGGACCTGGGGAAAACGGACCCGAAAAAGGGCGAAGGGGAAGAAGATGCAGAGGGAAGAATTCAGAGAAGCATCCCAGGCAGCGACTCGGCCAGGAGTGAAGGCGACCAGGGAGTGCAGCGGTTGGGGAAGAGGATGCAAACCCAGATGCAGGGAGAAGGTGGAAGGGGACAGTGGGAGAGGCAAAGGATGGATCCAGACGCTAAAAGGTAGAGGAGGCGGCGGCCAGAACAAAGCGCGGCTCCAGCTAAGATCGCTGTACTGGGAAGCTCTGCAGCAGCCACGCCCCTGAGTAGCTGTGTCCCCGAGCCGACTCTCCTCTTCTAAGTCTCCTCCCTCGCCGCGTGCGCAGCCCCACCCCAAGCCTTCTCCAGTCCCTCCCACACCCTGGCCCCGCCTCTTCCCACCATCGCCTTCCACTGCTTTGCTCTGGATGCGGGGGTAAGTGGAAAAAGAGAACTGTCACAGTTCCTCCTCCCGGATTGCGCTAACGTGAGAGCAATACCACTGAGTGTGGCCCTTCCCCTCCTAGTGGTTAAAGCAGTCGTGGTAATGATTCTGTAAAATTCTAAAGGTGTTATGCCTGTTTCTCAAGCCTCACAATACGCCTGTGGGGTAGGATTAGTATTCCATTTTACAGCTGACACCATTGAGGCCCAAACGGAAGACACTGGCCAAAGTCACATTCCACAGATTACAGAACAAAAAATAGTTGGCTGACAACTCGGGAAAACTCACAGCTTTCAGATGGTGAGAGGGGCTTCAGAAGCCTGTGGATGCCTGAAATGGGGCACAAAAAACAGGTGATCTGGGGCTGGGGTTGTAGCTCAGTGGTTGAGCGATTGCCTCACATGTGTGACGCACTGGGTTCCATCCTCAGCAATAAATAAATAAATAAAGATTTTGTGTCCCCCCACAGCTAAAAAAATATTGAAACAACAACAAGAAGAAGAAACAAACAGGTGTTTTGTTCGAGCAGGCATTTTTTGGGTGGGGGGATAACACTTATTTTAAGAGTCTAAAAGTGTGCTGAATAAGCCTACTCTACAAATGGGGAGATTGAAGGTGGGAACAGGGAGTGGTCTGCCCACCACTGATGAACTAACGGAAGCCTCAGGAATTGGATCTGTTCCAAAGGGTTCATATTCACTTTTTTTCTGTGCTGTGAAGACCAGTTTGGAGAGATGACAGACCCACAAGGAGAAGCCAAAATTGAAACTTTGTACTTTAATGATAAAAAAAAAATAGCATTTCCCTGGATGCTTACCATCTCTGCTCCCACCCCCTTTTCTCTGTCCTAAATACACAGTGGATAGATGAGCACCCAGCCAGAGATGTGCCTGCTCAAATAAATCATGCATCAGTAGTCATTTATRAGAATTAATTTGAAACTACTGCAGGCCCTGAGCACTTTGTCTGTTCTAGCTCATGTAATCCTTCAACATCCCTCAAGGCAAAGTACTATTAGTCCCATTTTACTGAAAAGAAAACAAAGACTCAGAGAGACAAAGCAGTTTTCTCAGTGAGTGACAGCATGAGCCTTCCCTCTGCCCTCCGGACACACCATGCTATTCCCTGTCCAGATGACCTGATGACCCTGAGCTTGGCAAGGACTCTGTTTCCCAGCTCTCCCAGGCCTGGGGTTCTGAGAATGTGACCCTTTGTAGTTGCAGCCTGTGGAGTAGGGAAACTGGGGGCTGGGCTGGAGGCTGAGCAAACAGAGTGGCAGAGAGGACAGCTCCTCTTCTCCAGTTCCCTCCCTCCCTGGCTCATTTTCCCCCCTCCCTATCTTAGGCAGCAGAGACTCCAGGAGCTCAGAGCCCAGCTTGCCAGGCCCGTCAACTAGAGGCTCCTTCATGGCACCTCCAAGGCCCCTTCTCATACTGGCTCTGCTGGTGTGGGTTGCTGTGGCTGACCAAGGTGTGAACCAAGGTGTTGATACCATCTGAGGCAATGTAAGGGTGGGTGAGGGTGGCCCGGTCTTGGCTGTATCAACTGACACCCCTTCTCCATAGAGTCATGCAAGGGCCGCTGCACTGAGGGTTTCAATGCTGACAAGAAGTGTCAGTGCGATGAGCTCTGCTCTTACTACCAGAGCTGCTGTGTTGACTACATGACTGAGTGCAAGACCCAAGGTGCGTTCAATACCTAGGTAGGTGGGCCTGGGGTCTCCTCTGTAGCTGGAGACTCACTATCACCCATTCTATCTGCAGTGACTCGTGGGGATGTGTTCACTATGCCAGAAGATGAATATGGGAACTATGACCTCTATGAGAGCTCCTCCGTGAGCCCTGAAGGGACTCCTAAGCCGACAACTGTCTCGAACCCTGAGGAAGAAGCTCTTATATCTGAGTCAAGTCCCCAAGGGCCTGAGGTGGAGAGCTCAGGACCTGAGGGGATGAACCTAAGACCTGAAGCCACTGCTGCAGGGCCCTCTGAGTTCTCCACAGAGGAGGAGCTGTGCAGTGGGAAGCCCTTTGATGCCTTCACTGACCTCAAGAATGGTTCCCTCTTTGCCTTCCGAGGTGAGTCCAGCGGAAGGTCTTGGGGGTGGGGGTCTGCCTCAGGAGCATGCTCTCTCTCATACAGCCTCCCCCACTCTAGGACAGTACTGCTATGAGCTAGATGAAACAGCAGTGAGGCCTGGGTACCCCAAGCTCATCCGAGATGTCTGGGGCATCGAGGGCCCCATTGATGCTGCCTTCACCCGCGTCAACTGTCAGGGGAAGACCTACCTCTTCAAGGTGCCAGGCCCAGGGACTGTGGGTCAGGACAGAGAGCATTTAGGGAAGGGCTGAGAGCTGGTATGCCCAGAACCATGGTGGGCAGGAAAGTCAGATGCAGGACCCTGTGGTACCTGGCTGGGGCTCTGTGAAGACAAGGCAGCAGTCTGAGGTTCCAGGTCCTGCATAGCAAGCCTGGAGTTGGGAATGGCCATGTTAGGGTATGAGACTCTGTCTCTGTGCCCAACCAGCTGCCTCCTCACTCTCTTTCACCTTTCCTGCCTCTTAGGGTAGTCAGTACTGGCGCTTTGAAGATGGTGTTCTGGACCCTGGTTACCCCCAAAACATCTCTGAAGGCTTCGGTGGCATCCCAGACAACGTGGACGCAGCCTTGGCTCTTCCGGCCCATAGCTACAGTGGCCGGGAAAGGGTCTACTTCTTTAAGGGTACTCAGAAGGGTGGGAGAAGAATGGGCAGACAGCAGAGTTGTCTCGGGTTCCGGGTTCCTTCCATGCTATCCTGGGGACAGGCCTCAGTGTATGCCCACCCCCTGTGCCAGGAGCTCCTAATTGGTGCAGCCTCTGGGCTCTCCAGCCTTGCTGAGGCCCACCCTCTTGATGTCAGCTCCCCTGCTCCTCAGGGAAGCAGTACTGGGAGTACGAATTCCAGCACCAGCCCAGCTGGGAGGAGTGTGAAGGCAGCTCCATGTCGGCCGTGTTTGAGCACTTTGCCCTGCTGCAAAGAGACAGCTGGGAGGACATCTTTGAGCTGCTCTTCTGGGGCAGATCCTCTGGTATGGCTGAGGGAAAGGCTTGCTTTCATCTCCTGAGGACCAGAATCCCTGGGGAGGGGGAGGGCTGTGCTGCCTGCAGGGGGCCGATTGGGGAGCTATTGATCAAGAGCTGTTTACTCAGACCAGACTTTGCTTCTGTTGACCTTTAGGGGGAGGCTTGGCTCCACCCAGACCCCATATCTTGGACTTTGCCTAGCACAGCCAAGGACACAACCAGCAGAGGGAGGGGCCGTGGATGAGGGGGTGTCTGTGGAGACCTAGGCTGTGGGGTGGAGACACCAAGGATATGGTAGACACAGGAAGGAACACTGGACAGGGAGACTGAGGTCTGCACTGGACTCTGCCACCAGCTTGCTGTGTCCTTTGGCAATGAAAGTGCAACAGATGAACCCTAAAGGTCCTGCTGGAGAGGGCAAAACTGGGTCCTCCAAACCCCTCCCATGAACCCCTTCCCTGCCACAGGGGGCGCCAGAGAGCCCGGGCTCATCAGCAGAGACTGGCATGGTGTGCCTGGGAAGGTGGATGCTGTCATGGCCGGCCGGATCTACATCTCAGGCTCAGCACCCCGCTCCTCCTTGGCCAAGAAACAAAAATCCAGACGTCGCAGTCGCAAACGCTACCGCTCCCGCCGTGGTCGTGGTCGTGGTCGCAATCACAGCCAGAACTCCCGTCGGCCATCCCGTTCCACCTGGCTGCACTTGTTCTCCAGCGAGGACAGCGGGCTGGAAGCCTACAACTATGACTATGACATGAACTGGGTTGTGCCTGCCACCTGCGAGCCCATCCAGAGTGTTTACTTCTTCTCAGGAGGTGGGAGCCCTTGCCACCTCTGAAGCTGGTTTTGCTCGAGCCTTCCCTGCTGCCTCTGGTCTCCATGGTCTGAACGCCATCTGAGGGCAGAGACCCCAGAAAGCCAGGCCAGGAGTCCTTAGTTGCACTGTGGATACAGTCTTCTTTCTCAGGGCAAGAGTGGGCAGAACCATATAGGGTCTCACCCACCCTCTTCCATCCTCTCTTTCAGATAAGTACTACCGAGTTAACCTTCGCACACGGCGAGTGGACACAGTGACTCCTCCCTACCCACGTCCCATCGCCCAGTACTGGCTGGGCTGCCCTGACCTGAAGTAGGAGCCAGAGTCCACACAGCTGGTCTTCCACAGCTTTTTCCTCTTCCAGCCTTTTCTCCCAACCCAATAAAGCTCACTTGGCCCTGAGTTTAAGACTACTGTCCTGACTGGGGTCAACGGATCCCTACCTGGGTAGAGAGCAAGCTGGGCTGTCAGGACAGGTCAAGGGGAGGAGAAACAGAGGAGCTTCAACTGTCAGTCCATGCTAGGCTTATTGCCCTCTCTGTGAACCAGAAAAGTTGGGGGCTGAGGAAGGTGTTGGGAGAACTACCCTTTCTCTGAGCTAAGGAGCCTCCAGCAGCCCAGGTAGGCAGCAGAGGGAGGGGCCGTGGATGAGGGGGTGTCTGCGGAGACCTAGGCTGTGGGGTGGAGACACCAAGGATATGGTAGACACAGGAAGGAACACTGGACAGGGAGACTGTCTAAACCCCCTGGACATGACAGAAGTCACTAAGCCACTCCTCCCTGGGTTTGGCCTGCTTTGAGCCTTGGACTTGACTAGGGTTTTATTTTGATGGAGATAGAAGGGGCAAGAGAAGAGGTAGGGTCACCGGGGTCATCATGCTCCTGTAACCCATCCCTAGGTAGGTGGATAGGCTTGCCTTCCTTCCCTCCCGTGTTTCTTTTTTTCTTTCCTTCCTCCCTCCCTCTCTCCCTCCCTTCCTTCTTTTTTTTTTTTTTTTTTTTTTTTTTTTGTGGTACTGAGGATTGAGCCAGGGGTGCTCTACACTGAGCTACATCGCCAGCCCTTCTTGTTTTTGGAGACAGGGGCTCCCTAAAGTTGCCCAGGCTGGCCTTGAACTCAAGACCCTCCCTGCCTCAGCTTCCTGAGTAGCTGGGATCACAGGTGTGCACTACCACACCCTGGAAGATGGGAGTTTTTTGAAGTTTCTGTCCTGGGATTGGGGTGGAGGGCAGTGAGGTCAGGAGAGATAGGGAAGGACTGGAGCTGGAAGGAAATTCATATGTACCCCTTTCTTTTAGCAAACTAACTTCGAAGGCTCCTAAGGAAGAGAGCACTGTTAAAACATCACCTTTAAACCCTCAATTGTACCTGTGAGGCCTCCTCTGGCTCCAGATTCCTGGGCCCCAGAAAGCCTCAAGGGTCAGCCAGAAAGGGTTAGATGCAGAAAAATCTCTGAAACACCTCTGGTGTGGACCTTTGTTCCCCAGCCCTGCTGAAAGCATGTGCTCCAGCTCATTTTCTCCCCATCATCCTCATCTTGTCCAGCTATACTGTCCAGTCAGTTGTGGGGTAGGCCTCTACCTACTCTTCCCTGAAGGCAGCCAGAACCAGGGCACGGAGGGCTCCAGAAGGGGCAGTTGAAGTCCTGGGAACACTGGAAAATTTTCAGTGGCCTTCTGGAAGGAGCCCTGGAGGATTTTCATGAAGTACAGGGCTGCAGGCAGATTGCCACCGGTTGTTTGAAGAGAAAGGCTGGGACCAGCTTCCTTTGTGAAGCTGGGGAAGGGCAGGGGCCATCAAACTGGCTCACCCATACCCCATCAGCCCAATCCTAGCTAGCCCTGGCCTCCCCTCCCAGCTCTGGGCTTCTCTGCCTCACTCTAGCTGGACTTTAAGCCTCTCTCCTGCTGGGGGTGGGGCCAGGCACTCAAACAGCATAAAACCCCAAACAGATGGGTCTGGTGTGGGCACAGGCCTGGCGTGGCCCTCTGGCTCCTCGGCTCTTGCCAGCTCCATGGCCAGCCCTGTGGAAGCATCTCCAGCAGGTGAGGTGACAGGGATATAGGGTGGGTTGGGTAAGAGGTGGGGCAGGGTGTGATGGGGAAGGTTGAAGAGGGTTGGCTAGTGCAGACTGCAGAGTCAGGCTCTGGCAAGGAGTCCTGGCTTGACCCCCATGTCAACCCCTAGGCCATGCCAGTGGGTTGGGTCCCCACCGGAGAAAGAGAATCACATTTAGTGTTGGGCAGCTGCTGGAGTTGGAGCGGGTGTTTGCAGCACGACCCTATCCTGACATTGGTACCCGTGAACACCTTGCCCGACTCACTTGCCTACCGGAGGCCAAGATACAGGTGAGCCATGACCTCCCCCCAGGATAGGTTACTTTCATACAGCCAACTTCTGGCCTTAACCCACAGCTCCTCTCTGGGTATTCTGCCTTCAGGGTCTGTCCTGTCCCAGGGAAATGGTGCTGGAGACAGAATAGTCCTCTTCATCTTCCTTACCAGGTGTGGTTCCAGAACCGCCGGGCCAAGAAAATCAAGAACAGAAATCCAGGAGGCCTAAGTCCCAGGCCTGAGCCTCCCCAGAGCTTCTGTTCTCTTCCAGATACCCCCCAGCAGCCCTGGACACCCCCAACGCTGGTCCAGCCTCCACCTGCCACCAGCACAGCTCAGTGCACCTCGGTGTGTTCACAGGCCCTGTGTGTAGCTCCCAGCTTGGGTCTAGGTCAGGGCTGGGCAGTGATGAAAGCTGTAGCCCCACGGGGACCCGCTGAGGTCTCAGGGGTCCACCCTTCTTTGGAGCAAGCTACTCCTCAAACCTCATTGGGCAGCCTATCTGACCTTATTTATGCCTCAGCTGTTGTCACCAATGCAGACCACTCCTGATCCAGGTCCAGAATTTCCAAGACCTCTCCTCTGGCTCTTACAGTCCATCCAGCCCACTTAGGACTGAACACATAAGAACTGGATCCCCTGCCCTCTTCTTTTACATAAAGGAAAACTCTAATGGGGAGAGTTTAGTTTCGGGACCCCTCCCTTCCACTTCCAGGCCAACTCAGATGCAGGTCCTCGGCAGTGACTGCAGCATGGTACTTGCTACCCAGCACCCTGGACCCTCCTAGGGCATATCAATTGTCTTGACAGTATCATCAGGATGAGTTAAGGAGTCATGTTTCCCATCTCTCCTGCTAGGACCTGTCCCCAGTTCTCACCACAGAGATGATCTCCTCCCTCTGATGGGGCAGCCATCTGTCTGACCAGGGCCCTTTAGGCCATTACCTAAATGCCTGCTATGCATGCTAGGGGAAGAGGGCTGCTCCTACTCTTGATTGCTGGAAACCCACCTTTTTATGATTCAGGGGCCCCTCATCTCCTACCTCCTGGACAAATTAATCATAACTATGGACCTGAATAGGGAATGATATTAAAGTAATAAAAGTAGAAAAGCGGGCTGGGGATGTGGCTCAAGCGGTAGCGCGCCCATCTGGCATGCGTGCGGCCTGGGTTCGATCCTCAGCACCACATACAAACAAAGATGTTGTGTCTGCCGAAAACTAAGAAATAAAAGTATTAAAATTCTCTCTCTCTTAAAAAAAAAAGTAGAAAAGGACCCTGGGGCTTAAGTTGATTTAATTAAAAAAAAAATAAGATTGCCTTCTGACGTGGGGCTGTGGAAACAACCTGACAGATTTGGGGTTGAGGGGGGTACAGCAGCACTGGGTTTTGGTATCACTGTCATCTGTAATACCAACTAATCTCCAAATAAAACCCAACTCTGTACTTTAATCTGGATTGTTGTATGTTGCAAATGAATGAGGCTGAGGGCTGTTTGCCTTGGAAATTTATCTTTATCACCTAATCCCTAAAATAGGGCCAGGTTCCACACAGATTCTGGGTGGGAGGTATTACAAAGGCTTCTGCTGAGATTAGTTAGGGGGATGGTTAATTGAAGGGCTTAGGGCTCTGACTGAGGCCCTGAGTAATAGGAGCCTCTACCAGCACCCCTGTCGCAGTCCTACTAACTTCAGCACATCCCAGTTACCTCCACTTCTGGAGTTGCTCAGCTTTGGGGAGAAAAGCAGAGTTGATGATCAGACTACACTGGACTGAAATCCTGGCTCTGCTATTTAACTGGCAACTCTCTGAAACTATGTGCATGAAAAGCTGAGGGAAAACTTGCTTGTCTCCTTTTTGGGAATAAGAAACAATGTAGGCAAAGGGCTTCATGCAGTGTGTGACATAAAAACTCCAAAAATTGCTAGTTCCCTTTGCTGTTTCATACTAGAGCTCAAGAGGAACTGGGAAGTGGCTCAAGCGGTAGTGTGCTCACCTAGCATGTGAGAGGCACTGGGTTCGATTCTCAGCACCACGCAAAAATAAAATAAAGATATTGTATTAAAAAAAAAAAAAACAAAAAAAACAGGAACTGGGAAGGCCTCAAACTTCTTGTTTTTCTGACCTCCTGCCAAGCATTTCCTGAACCCAGAGTGTCATGGAGAAAGCATGGTACCCTGAGAGGAAGTGGCAAAGACAATGCTCCCTTCACTGTGGTAAATGAGGACTGGCCCTAGCAGATTTTTTTTTTTTTTTTTTTTTTTTTTTAGGTGCTAGGGACCAAACCCAGGGCCTTGCACATGGTTGGCAAGTGCTCTACCATTGAGCAACACCACCATCCTGCCCTTGCAGATGGAACCCTCCTTGCACAATGGCCATTGCCTCCTCTTCATTCACTAGGAGGAGCTAGGTCTTTTGCCTCAGATGCTAACTTGGTGTCCAGCCCATAAAGCAGCTCTCAATAAGACTGAAATGCCATAGAAGCTTGTTAACTTGTGAGGAGGTGGTTGGGATCTAGTGTAGATTCCACCCTAATTAATGGTGGAGGGAAGAGAACAACTCCAATTCTGCCACATGTCTGTAATCCCAGCTACTTGGGGGGGCTGAGGCAGAAGGATCACAAGCTCAAGACCAGTCTGGGCAACTTAGTGAGACCTTATCTCAAAATAAAAAATAAAAAGGGCTGGGGATATAGCCTAGTGGTAGAATGCCCATGGGTTCAAACCCAATTTGGGATCAGGGGGAGAGGGAATGACCTCGATTTTACTGTGGGATGTCCTAGGGTCAGAATCTGTTTGAGGAGATTCTGATTAAGTTAGATCTCTTTTAACATCTGGAATCCATTCAACCTAAATTCAAGTCCTGGGGAGAGGTGAAAGCTTATAGCTAGATGGGCAGTCTGGAGCACAGAGTACAAGGAAGTACAGCCATGAACCCCACAAGGCTTTTGAAGCTTTCTGACCAAGCTTCAATAGTTCAGGTTACTAGGAACACTGTAAAATGTCACCTACATTTTCTCACAGGTGACATCTCTCTCAACTACCAGAAACTGGCAAATGTTGTAGGGGAAATGTCTACTAAGCCACTGTGTATATAATCTCTAAGAATAAAAAAATTCTGGAAAAAAAACAAGAACTACAGGAGCATGTACAATGAACAAACAGTAAGGAGTCAATCTTTAGGAGCAAATCCTGAAAAACAGAATTATGGAGATCTTTCTGCTTTGTGTATCTGAAACAGGATTTGAAATAAGAATACACTGGGCACAATAAATATTTATTGGATAAATAACTTAAGGTTGATACACTTTCAAACTCCATATAAAGATTCTACTATCATACCACTTATCTAAGTTCTCAGAAGTTTAATGTTAGAGACATCAGGGCAACATAGGAATCTTTGGCTCCAATCAACAGAAGAAAGACCATAGCTGGCCATTTGGTCTCAGTCTAGACTGTTTTGCCTTCTGGAAAAGGGGCCCAACACCACTTCCTTTTCCAAAAAGGTAGCTGCTTGGCTTCCAGATCTACCATACCATACCAACCTTTCTTTCTCTTATTTGATACCTGTCCTCTGGTTCCTCTTCCAGCATAAACTGAGAAAGGAAGCCTTTCTGCTTTCTTGGAGGCTTCTGCTCTCAATTATAGGCCTGTACCAAAGATGTACAGACGAAGGATTTGATTGATTTGTGCACTTGGGCAAGTTCAAAGCAGTAGGGTCTACTTCTGAGAAGGCCTGGATTCCATTTGCTCCTGCTGAAAAAAACCCCAGTCCCAGCAGTGCCCAGAATGAACTGAAGAAGGCAAATGGGCACTGAGTTCAGGAGAAAGGTATTGAGAGGTCAGTTCTTTCAGTTTTAAAGAAGTGGTGTTGTTTGAATCTCCTTCAATGCTCCCTCTGGAAATTCACAGAAGACAGGGCTTCCTGTAAGAACAGGAGGTGGCCTAGCCTGGTCCTCTGACTAATTGGAGCTGAGTACAAAGAGCTTCACAGGTTGATTGAGTTGGTTATCAGCAGTTGGGGGCCTGGGGCCCCCCAAATCTTCTCCAGATTTTGTTGATGAAGCACCAGTTACAGTTCTCCCAACTCACCTTCCATTGCCCGCACCATGACATACAGCTCGGCTAGACCCACCACTGAGGCAACGATCAATGCAGCCAGCACTTGCTAGGGAGGGGGAAAATCAGGCTTAAGGAATGTAAGCCAAGACTCAGCTCTCTAGCCCTCAGCACCTTTAATGGGGATGGAAAACCTCCAACCCAGCCCCTAAATCGAGGAGGAGGGGATCTGGCTTCTCTTGTGATTAATACCTGTCCAGCCCTCCCCCCCCAATTGCTCCCTTTATTAGTGCATAAATATGCACAATTTCTAACCTGTGTAAGGCACTTTCACACACATCCCCTTTTTCCATTAACACCCCCACTTGGGGCATTTTGTCTAGCCCATACTCACCGAGGCCATTTCTGTGAAGATATACTGGCTTCCAAGGTAAGTGCAAACAAAGGCAGCTGCCACTGTGACAATGAAGTTGAAGATGGTGATGACTAGAGCCTTCACTGACCTTACTTTGAGGAGGGGAGAAATTTTTAGGTCAGCATTCTCCAGGAGGCCCTGTTCCCTCAGAGCTGCCTCCCCGCATCAACCGCATTCCTTTGAAAGAACAAGTCTGAATAGCTCAGCCTTAAACCCAGAATGTTGGGGTGGAAAGAAATGCCACCTCCATCCCAAGGAGAGGCTTTGGAAGCTTAATTTCCTAGTATCTCACCTTGTTTTCCCAGGTCACTGAGCATCCCACCATGGCGTGAATCCTAGAAAAAAGAAAAAGTAGATGATTCAGAATGGAAGCAGCTCAGAGACAACCCACATATTTGTCAGTCTGGCCTCACCTCTCTCTATTCCTCAACACACTAACTCTGCATTTTCCATGTATTCTTTTGTCTAGGACCAGCCTGACTCTTTGCTGGACCACAGAGCAAGCATTTCAGAGAAGAGGACATAGGCTCCCAGTACTCATCTACTTCTCTCCTGTTTCAGGGAAAGAACATTCCAGAGATTAGAAGGGAACCCTGTCGGAAAAAAGTCTGCAAGGTTCATCTCCAACTCTACAATGTTTAAGAATCAGTAACATCTAAGCTCAGAGTCTCAGTGAGTGAGTTGGGAATTATGCAGTTTTAGACAACACAGAACTTGTATGGTTTTGGAATAGGAGACAAGCCAAGTTCCCATGTTGTTTCTTTCCTCTGCACCAGTTTTTATTTCTGTTTTTAGGGACTACTCAGTCCATACACTAAGAAGCAGGCCCTTACCTGACAGGTGACATTACGAGTGATCCGCTTATATTCCTCATTGGCCAGTTGTATCTTAATCTTCTCAAGCCGGGCAACTAGCTCTGGGTTCTAAAGCAGAAAAAAGTGTGTGAAAAGACTGATGTTCTTCTACATGCTAAGAAGCATGTCGTAATCACTGGTTCCAAGGGGGCACTGAATTACTAAGAGTGCCAGAGGACCTGCATACCAGGTTTGTCAACATAAAATCCAAGATCTAACATTTGCCTTTGGGTTAGGTCATTTCTGTGGCCACAACAGCTCTGTCCTAAATAGATTTAGGTCTCAGTGATGCTAAATACTCACAGGTCCACTGTACCTGATACTCTCTAAGATTCTTCATTTTTTTTTAAAGATGTTGATAAACCCTAATTTTATTTATTTATTTACATGCAGTGCTGAGAATCAAACCAAATGCCTCACATATGCTAGGCAAGCACTCTACTACAGAGCCACAACCCAGCCCTTCTAAGATTCTTTGTAGTTCTAAAGAGCTGCCTCCCCCTAATAGTTGAGCAGTCCACATTTTATACTTCTGGCTAGGCTATGTTAATTCTGGAAAATACCCAGTTTGTCTATTCCACCTCCTTTTAAAAAATATTTGTTTTAGTTGTAGGTGAACACAATAACCTTCAACTTATTTTTATGTTATGCTGAGGATCGAACCCAGTGCCTCACACATGCTAGGCAAGTGCTCTACTACTGAGCCCCAGCTCCAGCCCCTATTTCCTTTCTTTATAGATAAGGGAATTGAGGTCCAGAAAGGAGGAGTGACTTCTTTGAGGGAAATCAGTGACAGAACTAGGATTAAAACTCACATGCTATTCTTGGTTAGATCTTTCAACATAGCTTTTGTCATTCTATCTCCACTGTTTTGGAAACTGGGTTTTTGGATCTCAGCTTTCTAAAGCTGTCAAATAGAGAAGGCAATACCTGGTTTACTCATCTCAGATGCCAAAGATTTAAAAGACAAAATTTCAAGCCCCAAAACTGATTAAAAAATTTGATGCCCTACTCAGCCAATACCCACTCTCAAAAATATATCCTTTACATACCCGGGGAGGCTTCACAACTTCTGGGAGATAGATTTCACTGCCTTCCAGGAGTTCATGAAGGTATAGTGTGGAATCTGAGAAGAAAAGGTTTCCACAAATGTAGTGAGCCATAGAGTTAAGGTTGAAAATCTAATATCAGAGAAGGGTCTAGCTCTTTCTTTTTTTTTCCTGCCGAAATAAAAATATGGCCATACCTATGTCAACACATTGCTAGGATCACTTTCAATTGGGAAAAATCTAGGGCAATTCCACCTAAGTATTTCCTAGTGCTGCAAAGTTGACTATAATTGTCAACTCTCAATACTCTGCCAACATGAAAACCAAGACCTAACATTTGCCTTTGGGTTAGGTCATTTCTGTGGCACAATAGCTCTGCCCTAAATAGGTTTCGGTCACAGTAATGCTAAATACTCAGAAGCCACTGTATGTGATACTTTCTAAGTTTTTTTTTTTTTTTTTTTTTTTTTTAGTTCTAATACTTGCGCAGTCTATGTTTTGCACTTCTGGCTAGGCTATGTCAATTCTGGAAAAATACCCAGTTTGTCCTATTCCCTTTTTTTATAGATAAGGGAATTGAGGCCCAGGAGTCCAGGAAAGAGGAATGACTTCTTTGAGGGAAAACAGTGACAGAACTAGGATTAAAACTCACATGCTATTCCTGGTCTAGATCTTTTAACATAGCTTTCATCATTCAATCACCAAGAGAAAGGAACAAAGAAAGACAACATAGGATACCAACTCTTGCTTTTGAGATAGACCAAAAAGAATTAAGCTCACTATGCCAACTGGTTCCTAATGTGGCAAAAAAAAAAAAAAGAAAAAAAAGAAAAAAAAAAGAAAAAAAAAAGGAGGAGGAATGGAATTTGGGAGATGGTATTGGATTAGATCCTCGACTTCCTCAGGGTCAGGTGTGCCTGCCACGTGAATAGGAGATTATAAGAGAACAGAATCTGAATAAATTTTGTCGTCCAAGAATTCCCTTAGGAGTGGAGAAAGGAGTGTGGGTGGCCTTTGGGTTTATGAGGAGACTCTTTGTTGGTTACTTAAGTGTTTTACAGGTTAGAGACAATGATAGGGGAAAAAACCAGGAGGAAGTAGATCTGGAAACACGGAGGCGATCTAGACTGGAGACAGACTCACCCCTTTTTCTCAGGTGCTGGTGCAAATCCCGGATTAGACGGAAGGAAACTAAGCGTCGGGGGCCACTAGGGCTATCACCGTCCGTGTGCTTCTTCCCCAGCGCGGCCTCTAGTTCGGCTCGCAGCTTCCGGGGCAGCTGCTCTGACTCCAGTTCCCCGCCGGGGCCCAAAGCTTGTACCAGTCGCTCACCGGCAAGAAAGGAAGACGCCATGTCTAGCTGCCTCTATGGTCAGGTGACCCCAAACCGGACTTCCGCCTGACGCTCGCCGGAAGTAGTTCGGAGCTTGCGGGGGGCGCAGCTAGGCAAGGCAGAGGGCCAAGGGGCGGGACGCGGCGCGGGGCAGTGTGGGGCGGGGGCGGGACGCCGCCCCGCCGCGGGTCGGGCCCTGTGTCAGCAGCCGAGCCGGCGCTCGGACGGGACATGGCAAGTTGTGTGGCCCGGAGGGCCCTGGCCGTGGGCAGCCGCTGGTGGTCCCGGTCTCTTACCGCGGCCCGAGGGTCGAGGCCGCTTTGTGCGGCGGGTGGAGCGGTGGCCTTCCCGCCAGTGGCAACTACGACGTCGCGGAGGCATCTCTCGTCTCGGTGAGGGACGGAGCACTGGGGTCGGTCCGGGCACGGAGACCGAGGAGCGGTGTATCGTGTTCCTGGCCCGTGAGGGAGCTAGGAGGCTGGGCTGCCTGGGGGTGACCGGCGTATGATTTAGGACGGGGTCTGGAGCACTGAGCGACGTTGGTTGTCTGGGACATGTGCCAGGAGCAGAGAAGGGAGCGCGGCCCAGGGCCCTCGCTGTGCAGGCTGGCTCTGAGCGGGAACTAGTAACACTCCCCGAGCAAATCCTACCTCCCCAGCTGAGGTTCCCAGCACTGCTGTTAGTGGACAGCCTTTGAATGCAGCCCCAAGGCTTTTGACTTCAACCCCCGGCCCCTATTGGGCCCCCCTCAGGAAGATGCTAGAGGAAGGAAGCAAGTCTGCTTGAGTGTGGGCCCTCGTGGGTCCCAGATTTTGCTATGATCTTGGTACACCCGTTTTCTCTATGTGATTTGGGGAAGGGGATTTGAAGTATGGGGATGGTGTGAGCAGTGCCTCTGAGGTTGGGACAGGCAGATGAGATTGGGGCCAGTTGGTTCAAGTTCATGTCTCCAAAATAGAATAGCAGTGCTTGAAGGGCTCCTATAAAGAGCAACACTGTTGAGAGAGGTAAACTGACAGAGCTGACCTTATAGTGGTTCAGATTAGACACCAATATTGGGGAGAGATAATAGTTATTTGCAAATTGGAAGACCCCTGTGAAAATTGACGTCTGAACAAAAACTATAATTGAGAGTCTTCAGTACTAGGTGTAATGCATGGAGTACATTAGAGAATCTAGAAATGATTAAACCCTTAATGACAAGGTAAGGACTATAGAGGAGAAATGGACATGGAATTATTATCAGAACACAAAATTTTTTGAGTCCCTTTTATACACTAGGCTCTGAGAGGGCAGCTCAAGCTGATCAGACATAAGCGTTGCTCCTGGAAACTAGTCTCTAATGGAGATAAGAAATGGACACAAATAACTGAAATGCAAAGTGGGAAGGACCTTTAAAATGCTACAGGAGGTCAGGAAGTGGGTTAGGGAAGACATGGGGTAGGGGGCTATATTTAACAGGGTATTAAGGCATGATATGAGGAATGCTGGTGAAAAGAGAAGAAAGTGACCTGGGAGCAGTCACAGCTATCACTGGGAGATTAGAGAGGTTTTCATCAAGGAGGAGCTGTGGCTGAACCTCAGAGGAGGAAAGGCAGCAGCTCTGTGGTTTGGTGGCTTGGCAGGGCCCTCACCTGTTAGATGGCCACACTTCCCAGCCCTTGTCTGCTGTCATTGCCCTGGCCCTTCAGTACCCTAGTTATTTTTTTCCTGATGGATAAGTACTGGTACCTTCTTAGCTTTTCATTTGCTTGTTCTTTTCCTTCTTGATCAGAAACCGACCAGAAGGCAAAGTGTTGGAGACAGTTGGTGTGTTTGAGGTGCCAAAACAGAATGGAAAATATGAGACTGGGCAGGTAAGTTTTGGGATGGGTCTGCTTTCATTTTCTTGGAGTGTTCTGCTTTTGAATGGAGTCAGATTTGGTCACAGGCCTGAATGATAAGGTTTTTTACTCATTCCACTTTTATCTTTTTTGCAGTGCTGGGGAATCAAACTCAGGGCATTATACATGTGAGGCAAGTGCTCTACTGCTGAGCAACATCCCCAGCTCCATTCCACCTTTCTGTTTGGTATCAGAACAGAATTAGATTTTTTAAGATGCAGGTTCTGGGGGCTGGGGATATAGCTCAGTTGGTAGAGTGCTAGCCTTGCAACCTCAAGGCCCTGGGTTCAAATCCCAGCACGACCCCCCCTCCTCAAAAAAAAAAAAAAAAAAGGTACAGTTTCTGTGTTCCTGTATTTGAATGCACTTAATAGTGAATTTTCTTTCCAAGTAAGCGTGAAGAATTGTTTGGGCTATAGTGAGGAGAAAGCCAAGTCCTTGAAAATTCTTCTAGCATATTGAATAGTCAGAAGTCAGTAGAGGGACCTTTCAGGAAAGAAACTTTTAACGTCTTGTTAGCAAAGTGATTACAGTGTGGTTAGCTCTGGGTGTGAGGCTCTTTTTCTGTATCAGATTTGTTCTAGGTCCATTGGGATAGATTTAGGTCCTATGAAGGTAAGGAAGATTTTTGTTGATTTAATTGTTTTTTAGTATGCTTAAAATGGACTATGCATTGTGCATTTGGGTTAAATCAGAAAGCAAGGTAGACATGGTTCTTTCCTTCGAGGAGTCTATGGTCTAGGAAAGAATCAATGATGTGCAAATGGTTGATAGCTATATACTGCTAAATGAGTAGATTAAGAAGGCTTCCTGAAGGCCAAAGCTGAGATCTGAAGAGTCAGCCAGGTTAAGAGAGTGTAGAGTTTTCCAAAGTTGGCTTGAGTTGATCTCAGGGATCAAGGGAAGAGGTGGCAAGACCTTGTGCTGTAGTTGCCTCTACCTGTGCTGCTTTGTGCAGCCCACCTGGATGGACTTGCTGGACTGCATACTCACTAAGGCCACCTCTCTTTCCTTCCAGCTGTTCCTTCATAGTGTTTTTGGATACCGAGGTGTTGTCCTGTTTCCCTGGCAGGCCAGACTGTATGACCGGGATGTGGCTTCTGCAACTCCAGAGAAGTAAGTTTCCCTCTCCTGCCTTACAATATTCTCAGGAGGAGGCCCGACTCATGGCAGACATACGTAATTGGGCCTCAGGGGTGAAGACATCCTCTAGGACCTTAGAAACGGCCCCAGAGTACTTCTCTGGCACTAATACTCATAGAGACAATAGAGTTGAGTGCTAAGAACAGCTTAAGCCAGAGGGTCCCTTTAGACCTCCCCAGAATGCTCTCCCACTATCTTGAGTTTTCGTAAGTACTCTTCACATCTTCTTTAGAGTACATTAAAAAAGAAAAGCAGTAGCTCTATTAAATGATCACAGATAGCCCTTGGGATATGAGAGTTGTAGAGTACTCTGAACTGAGGTGGCAATTAGATTTTCTCAACATGGCCCCCTTCCAGGAGACATTTAGAGAACAAGACAGATGGTGACTATGTGGGCCTTCCAGGCTCCATTGTTTGTCTTGACTGGAGAACAGGTAGGCTGGGCTGTTGCTGAGCAGTGCCTAGCTGGTTCTAAAGCTCCTTCAGCTCAGGACTAGCTTGCTTAGGTAAAGAGGTGGTAGGGATCTGATCAGACACCATTTCCCCTTCTCTCAGGGTGATCTTGGGTTTCTTCTCCCATCCTGCAGAGCAGAGAACCCTGCCGGTCATGGTTCTAAGGAGGTGAAAGGAAAAACTCACACTTACTATCAGGTGCTGATTGATGCCCGTGACTGTCCACATATAGTAAGTAAGCAAGATGCCTGGGCCTGGGGTTCCCTCCTTGGGATAGGCCTGTACTCCAGTGGAGACAGAGAAAGGGAGAGGGATCAGACAAAGCCTAGATCAGCCCTGGCCTCCAAGACATTGGGACTGAACAGTGGCCAAGAAAGCCCCTGACTCACTTCTTGCCTTAGTCTCAGAGATCTCAGACAGAAGCTGTGACCTTCTTGGCAAACCATGATGACAGCCGGGCCCTTTATGCCATCCCAGGTGAGCAGTTAGCATCTGAATGGTGCCATGGAGAAAGGGTCTGGTGTGTCCTAGGGAGAGAGTTCTGCTGTCCTGTAATCTCCTGGGAGGGATTTGGGTGCCAGGAGCCATGGGGCCAGCATTGTCCTCCCTGGGCAAGGCCAGGAAATGTTTCTTCTCAGTCGTGTTCCTCTCCTTTCCTCCTGTGTGAGTCTTACTCTTTCCCTCTCTGTTCCAGGCTTGGACTATGTCAGCCATGAAGACATCCTTCCCTATACTTCTACGGATCAAGTTCCCATCCAACATGAGCTCTTCGAAAGATTTCTTCTGTATGATCAGACAAAAGGTATCTTTTTCAAGAAGGAATAGGAATAGGAGGGTGCTTTCTTCTAGGAGACATCATAAGAATAATCCCATGACTCTTATTTCCATAACCCCTTTCAAGGTCCCCTTGACCCTATGAGGTCAATGGCTCCTGTCTCCTTCCAGGGATAGAAGGTCATAAGTGATTCAAGGTTGCTTGGTAGTAGCATCCGGAGGTCTGAAAACCAGGGCTCTTAACTTCTAGTACAGTTCTCCTCCCATGACATCACTACCCCTCAGGGTTTATTCTTGGTAGTATGTCTGTGCCTTCTAGCTGTGCTCCTTTTGTCTTTGTCCTGTTTGCCTATGCCACCACTGGGAAGGAATTTCTAGGAAGGGCAGTTGGAGAGTGGGTGCAACACTCTGGACTCTGGCCTGGACTAATCTATTGTCTCTTGTCCTAGCACCCCCTTTTGTGGCTCGGGAAACGCTACGGGCCTGGCAAGAGAAGAATCACCCCTGGCTAGAGCTCTCTGATGTCCACCGGGAAACAACTGAGAACATTCGTGTCACTGTCATCCCTTTTTACATGGGCATGAGGGTATGTGCCCAGCCTGTGTTCCTTCCCACAGGGCTAGGTCCCAGATTCTGTGTGTGTCCCTAATGTTGACTGCTAGAGTAGGGGTGAAGGCCAAAATCTAACACATGTCCCTGTGGTTCTGTTCCAGAGTACTCATGTGTTGGGTGGGGTTGAGTAGCCTTTTGATGGTGGCTGACACGAAGACCTAGAGTAGGTAACCTGTAGGTCCCAGGAAAGCGTCCTCCATGTGGGTTCGCCTTTCCTGGGGCTCAGGGGGAGCCTTGCTTAAGAATGTACACATGCTTACCTGAATGAGAGTGGGCTGATCTTCACACTTTATACAGTTGTCAAATGTTTATTGAGCTGTGTCTTGCCTCACTCTGAGCCAGGCTTGGGATACAAATGGAAGATTGTTTCTGCCTTTCAGGGCTTAGGGTAATGGGGGAGGTCAATGTCCAACATATGAAGTATTGCAGTATTAGAGGTTATGGGAGGACAGAGAACAGGGTCCTGGGCAGCAATGGTGGAGGCCAGACCTGGAAAGCAAGGTGGTGAGAAAGGAGGGAGTCTTGTAGTTGATTTGTTGGCATCCAGCTATTGGTGATCTTGGCAAGACAAGGAGGAGAGTGGCCATGAGTAGGAGTATACATACACAGGAGGCTGCCTGTGGGCTTGTTGGCCACAGTTCCGATACTGTCATCATCATCCCACACATTCCCAGCTTGAGCTGTTTCTGCAACCTTTCTGGAATTCTACTTTGGATACATGTTGATTGAAAGAGACTTGGTCTTATTCTCTGAGACTTAAATTCTTTGTGTTTTTTTTCCCCCCCAGGAAGCCCAGAATTCCCACGTTTACTGGGTGAGTGTCTCCCTGGGGTGGGGTGAGCTCAGAAGGTGTGCTCAGGGATCGGATGGGAAGGTGATGTTCACCTCCTGGTGTGGGTGGAGCCTGTTTAATGCAATTGTTAGCCTTTATTTCTTTTTGCTCTCAGAATTCTGGATAGGCTTGCCTAAGGTCTGTTCTTTCTCAAACATGAACTTTCTCCCCACACCTCCACAGTGGCGCTACTGTATTCGTTTGGAGAACCTGGACAGTGATGTGGTACAGCTCCGGGAGCGGCACTGGAGGATATTCAGTCTCTCAGGCACCTTGGAGACAGTTCGAGGCCGAGGGGTGGTGGGCAGGGTGAGCATTACTAGCTTGGTCCTGCCTAGCAAGCCCCAGGGGCTTCCCACCTGGTTTCCTCACAGAGGCTCACTGTGTGAACACATTGGGTTGCCTGGGGTGTTAAAACTAACAACAGCCCTGTGAAGTGGGTTACCCTGTAACCTATTTCACAGATGAAGAGAGTGAGACTGAGAAGCTAAATAACAAGTCTACAGTCCCATCACTAGTAGTAATAGGGCCGGGACTTAAATCCAAACGAGTCTGAAGTCAAAGCTTATGCACTTTTTGAGCATCATAATGCCTTTTTAAAGCCTGAATTTAAATGTGTCTAGTTGGGTGGGGCATGCATACTCCCATCATTCATGGTTGGGTTGTCTCTGGTTCTTTATATGTCTACATCCTCTGCTGGTCCTTGAAGAGATTTGATTTTACAATCCCTGCCTACTCCAACCTGTCTCTTGAGAAATAAAGTCATAAGTAGTACTAATGCCAGGGCCAACTTCCAAAGTATTTATCCATGTCAGGAGGGGATTGGGGAAGCAGGGTGGAAAAGTGATTAAGAACAGGACTTGGAATTAGATAGTTGGCTCCAAATTCTAGCTGTGTACTCACTGCAAACTTTCAGTAAATTACATAAGCAAAATCTCAGCTTATTGTTGCTAAAATAAAGATCACACATAAAACTTTATGATCACTGGAAGTTAAGCAGCAGAGGTTTGCAGAATACAGACTCTGGTGCCTGACACTTAATTCTCATGAATGGACACTGGAAGGGATGCTTTCAGAGTGGGTCTTATGCTCAGAATCTTTGCCTGGTACCTTAGTCTGAGATTATCTTTCCCAGAGTCAGAATAAAAAGCCCCCTAGGCCACTGCTAAGTAGTCACTGTGGCAGTGCCTGCTCTGGTAGTGTCTTAGGTTGGGGGCATTTAGTCTTGATGAACTGGCAGTCAGTATGTGGCCCTTTGGTTCAGGGAGTGTGTCCCTGGTACCTGGCCTGACCACTTTTGTCTGTATTCTCACAGGAACCTGTATTATCTAAGGAGCAGCCCGCATTCCAATACAGCAGTCATGTCTCCCTGCAAGCTTCTAGTGGGCACATGTGGTGAGTGTGTAATGGGGCACAAACCATTGGACTCCACAGACGCTGCTACAGGTCTAAAGAGTGAGAGCTCACAGCAAGCTCAAAATTATGGCCAGCTCTGGGCCAAGCCAGGTTGTGTGGGAACACTTTGGTGTTTATGAGTGCCTGTTTCTCAAGTTTCCTGTGGTCTGTGGGCTGAGGACTTAGGCCCAGGGATCTGATGCTGCACTGTGTTGCTCATATAATTGGCTGTTTTCCCTCGTGTTTCACGTCTTTACCTGAAAATGCAGCTGGACAGCTCATATAGTATGTATGGAATGTACTGAAGGGATGGAATCTGCACAACTGTGTTTTTCTTTATTTTTTTTTGAGATGGGGTCTTTCTATATTGTCCAGGCTGGTCTTAAACTTTCAAGTGATCCTCCTTTCCTCAGCCTCACAAGTAGTTTGGATTACAGGCACAAGCCATCATTCCAGTCTTATTTTTTAGAGCCAAGCGGGGCTCTTAGGTCTCTGGACCAGTCTTTTTTTTTTTTTTTAATTTGTAGATGGACACAAAACTCTTTATTTTGTTTATTTATTTTTATGTGGTGCTAAGTATCAAACCCAGTGCCTCACACATACTAGTCTAATGTTCTATCACTGAGCTACAACCCTAGCCCTGGACCAATCATCTTGTCATGAGCTAAGATAAAAGAGAGTTCAAGCCTGCCTCACCACACTGTGGCTTAGGAGCTGAGGGCACAGGGCCATCCAGCTCCATAGAAGGGCTTCTGACCTGACTCCCTCTAAACCAGCTTTTCTCTGACCCTCAGGGGCACGTTCCGCTTCGAGAGACCTGATGGCTCCCACTTTGATGTCCGGATCCCACCGTTCTCTTTGGAAAGCAATAAAGATGAGAAGACACCACCCTCAGGCCTTCACTGGTAGACCAGCTGAAGCCCTGAATGCCTAGGCTTGGCCCCTCAGAACAGGTCTCAACCCACAATTGCTGCAGAACTCTTTTCTCTCCCCATTAAGGGCCACACTGGGTCATTTAATCCTTTGCAACATTTGATTGTGGGGTTCTTTGGGGCGGGGGTTTGTAACTGTTTTCTTTGGAAGACCCACATGGAACTCTTCTAAGGCTGGCCTCCTCATAAGCCCTGCCTACACTGTGTCCAGTAAATGTTGCCACCAGGGAACTGTGTTCAGCTGCCACAGAGGTGGAGGAGTTTCTTAGCCTGTCACTCAAGTTGTATGGAATATGAGGTTTGGTTAATAAACCAATATATGCTTGGCCATCCTTGCCATTTCTGCCCTCAGGGTCTTTTCAGGTTCCCTTTCTGACCCAGTGGGGCCCTGGATTGCTTTCCATGCAAGGTCATGTCTAGGGAACTGCTTCTACTGCTAAGGTTTCTTTTCCTTCTGAGACCAGCTGGATGTCTCCCAGGGGTACTGTGCCTCTCAGCCAGTGGATAGGCACTGGACTGGACTTTTATTTATTCTTTGCCAAGTGCAGAGGAGGAGGCCAATTCCAGGGCCACAGTGGTCTGGCTCTTGGCACTAACCTACCACCCATGTACCTGGCCTCGCAGGGCCTGGGAGAGGAGCGAGGCAAGCCAGTCAAGCTTCCTGCAGCAGTGAGCTTGCCAGCTGCAAAGATGGATCTGTCAAGCATCCAGACCACAAGGGCAAGAATTTGGCCAAGGAGCAGCTTAAGGTATGGACACTGATTGAGCCAAGCTACTTCCTGAGCTTCTCTCAGATCTCCAAGAGCCAGAGATGAATTGGGATTATTTTGCCCCAATTCTTAGGATTCTTTTTTCCCCACCATTGCAGTGATTGTTAGAGGTCATTTCATTCTTGAACAATTATTAAATCTTGGTTGCAGCCCTTGTTACCGTTTTTCTTAATCCTCCACCAGGGGGAGCCTGGGTTGTAGGGCCCTGGAGTCCTCCGTTTTATGACCTAGCTCAAGGTCAGATGGTGAACCGAGAAACACAGGAACCAAGCCCATAGCTGCAAGCCTGCGGAGCTCTCCTCACTGTAAACAAGACTCTCTACCACTTCAGTGTAACACAATTTTATTAGAAATTAGTGTTTATTTCCATCACTTAGACTGAGCAAAAAAGGATCGCAGTTATGTGATACAGGAAAAATTTTCTCATGCCAGGATCTGTGCCATCCTTCAGGTAGGCTATGGTCACATACTAGATTCAAAACCCCATTACTGGTCTGCATTGTTAACAGTAAGTTTCCAGTTTTCTCAGAAACTAACAAGGTTTGACCTTCATCCCACAGTTTTTGTTTACCCCTCCCCAACCACCTGGTTGGAGTTGAAAAATTCAACACTGCCAAGAGCTGCTTTCTGAACGGGGCTGGGAAATTCCCCAAACCCTTAAGCCACAAAGTCTGATTAAAGAAGCAGAGATCATTTCAACAAATTATGTTAGTGTTTTCTGTAAGACCGAGAAGATAGTTCAGTCAGAAGATAAATGCCCAGCCCTAGTCTATAGTGCTTTCTCAGAACCAAAAAGAGGGGTCACTGAGACAGCCCAGGGTCTGAAATATCAGAGCACTAAGTAGAAGCTAAGGGGAATGTGGAGATCAAAGGACAAGTGTGATCATGCCTCAGTGGGGAGCTGGGAATCTGAGTATTAAAGGGCTTCAAGAGTGCAGCTGAGAAAACAGGCCAGTGGCTCTAGGCTGAAGCATTCCATCTCCTTAAGAAAGCCACAAAGCTGAAGCCTGATTTTTTTTGTTTTTGTTGGTGCTGGGGATCGAACCTAGGGCCTCATTCATGCCAGGCAAATGCTCTACCACTGAGCCATATCCCCAGCCCCTGAAGCCTAAATTTGCCCAAAGAAATGGATTGTCATCTTAACTGCAGTGAAGGCTGGAAGACCTAGTAGCTGATCACCAAGTACCTGACTTGAGAGTCTTCAGCTAATTTTACATTCAAGACTGACTAACATAAAATGCCTGCTTAATAAGTCACATTTCCCCTGTTCCATCATGTAATTCCAGGTCCTTGTGAGTGGCCAACCCTGGGCCTGGCAATTGTCCATAAGCTCTATGGGGTCAGCTGTGAGCAGCTGCTTAGAGTAGTCAAACAGGGATAAACCTGACAGCCGGTGCTCCTTCTCCTTTGTTAGGCTGATAGAATCCTCCCTCCCTGAGGGCATTCCTCACAAAAAATTCAGATGAGCAGCCTCCCCAGGGACAAGCCAAACACAGGATGAAAACCAAAGTCATGAGAACTCATACCCTGGCTGATACGTGGCATTTCCATGCCAAGAAAGAATGAAGACCTTCAAGGGATTTAGGTTTTTCCTATAGCTCTATGTTCAGAGACTCACCACTGGGCAGAACCACCATCCCAGCCAGGACAAAAACCAACAGCATGCAGATTGGGGTGGGCCACAGGGCCTCTTGGATGTGCAGGGCTGAGTCCACTGTCCTCAGCTACTGGGCATGTTGACCAGCACTGTACAACTCCCATGGGCTTTATAGCCTTCCAGGTGCTGCTTGTGTTTAGGGCCCAGGGTAGCCCCTATTGACAGTGTTAGCTTTTACAGTATGTGGAGTCAAAGTGCCTTGGAACTAAGGGCACTCAAGGATGAATCAAAGAGAATAGCACTATTACATCCCAGGAGTCAGTGACATGACCCCAGGATGTGGGGGTGAGATGTCTCTTTAGGCAGCATGCTGTGAGACCATGGGTCTTATCTTACATAGCCTGTCTTCCTTTTTTTTTTTTTAAAGACTTTATTTATTTATTTATTTAGTTCTCAGCAGACACAACATCTTCGTTTGTATGTGGTGCCGAGGATCGAACCCGGGCCGCACACTTGCCAGGCAAGCACGCTACCGCTTGAGCCACATCCCTAGCCCATAGCCTGTCTTCCTTGGTGCCCTGGGCTGCCTGGCCAGGCTGATAAAGCCAAAACTGGTCAGTTTTGTTTTTATTGCTTTCTCTTTATCCTCTCCCTCAGAATGATTCTGCAGGAAAAGGGGATTAGGGTCAGGAAAAGGTGTGGGTCAGGGCAGGCTAATCTCCTGAATAACAGTACAAAGTGCATTAAAGACAGATCCCAAAAGCATCAAGAAGGGCTGAGGGGTCTACCTTATGCAGGATTCTGGCACCCTGCAGGGGTAACAAATGCCTAGTCCCTCATTATATAAAACTATTCATTTCCTAGATTATTTTTTAAAAATCAAGCTCATCAAACCTGTGCTTCAACACCTTAGGGAAAAAGAAGCCCCACCTGTGATAAAGACTGGGCCTCCACAGCACCAGRAGCAGCCTTTCCCCCAGAATGAAGCCATYCCTRTGGGGCTYCGCTGAGGAAGGGCACTCAGCATAGGGCCCAGAGGGGAATGTGCTTAGCAGGAGGAGGGAGGCTGGTCAGCTCACCCCACAACAGAAGTAGCTCCCTGCTGGACAGGAAGGGAGATGGATCTGGTAGTGCTCAACAGTCAGGGCCAGGGAACGGGCCCTTCCCAGCCCAGGCCCTTGATTTCACAGGAAGGGCTTGTCATGTTTCTGAGTGCTGGAGCAGACAACCAGGCAATTGCAGCGTGGGGCTGCAGAGGGCAGGAGACAGGGCCTCCTGTGCCCCATCTCCTTGAAGGTCTTATCASTCACGATGGGCAGATTGGTGGYCGAGCTGCCGGTCATCGTAGGTGCTATAGCGCTTGACATGGATGCGGCGCACACGATCCCGCAGTTCATAGGCTTCCTCATCTTCACTGGGGGAAGCCTGGCTGCGGCTCCGGCTTGTGGCCTCCAACAAGGAGTTGTCAGGGACGCGGGGGGTCTCATAGAGTAGGACATTAAGTGTCTCCTCATAGATTCGGGCCTCTGGAAATTCCACCTGGGGCGAGGTAGACAAGACTGATTCAGATTTTGTCTCAGGATGTACAGCTTGTCAGGGCTCTAGGCCCTGTGCTGCTTCATGAGGCCTCCTAACTGTCAGGAGACATGCTCTGTGGACATAACAGAAGACCATCCTGAACCTGTCCCACCCCAGTCCGAGACTGATGGACTAGTATGCACCCGTGGCCTAGATACCAACAGCTCCATCACTTACTAGCTGTGAGGCCTTGGTCTAAGCTTTCCAGGCTGCAGTTTCCATTTGTGTAAAGTGATGGTTAATATTTCCCTACCAGAGTTATTATCAACACAAGAAATATGTAAACTGCTTAGCAGAGAAGTTGACACAGTTTATCTGTCTGCCTATGTATATATCATCTGCTCTGATGAGCAGTCTTACTGCTTTTTATTTTTGCCTGACCCAACATACCCATCCCCAGGATCAGTATGGAGGAAAGAGAAGGTATGGCAGAATTCCAGCAAACTTGCCATGTCATGTTAAGCTCTGTGCCCTTATCTCTCAATGCAAAGAATGGCAGAAGCTTGTAGGTGTGGTGTGAGGGGTCAGAGAAGTTCATGGACAAAAGAACACGGGAAACTAAGCTTGGTGGCACATGTTTGTAATCCCAATGGCTCAGTGGGATAAGGCAGGAGGATTTCAAGTTCAAAGCCAGCTCAGCAACTTAGCAAGGCCCTAAGCAACTTAATCAGACTCTATCTGAAAATAAAAAATAAAAAGGGCTGGGGATGTGGCTTAGTGGTTAAATGCTTCTGGGTTCAATCCCTGCCCCCCCCCCCCCTCCAAAGAAAGAACACAGGCAGGTAATAGGTGTTGTCATGGTTGCAACTCAGCCCCTCAAGTCTTCCCTCCATGGACATGGCTGAGAGCCCCACACTCACTGTCCCATGTCATGAGGAAGCAGGGCCACTTCCTATAAGCTGCTCTTTGACCCTGGCAAAACATCTAGCTGAAGGCACTTTAGCAACCTGGTGACCAAGAAGGTGCTATCTGGGCTTGAGCCCTTCGTACCTACATGACTTCCCCGGATGAACTGCTGTTCCGCCCTAGAAAAGCTCTGCCATCTCTGGGACTGACCCTTGTTATTTTCTGGGGAAGATACCTTCTGCTTGCATCCTGAGAAAAAGGGGTTAGCTGAGTTTGTGTAAACTATCACCTATCTAATGCCTCAGGCATGCCCAGCACTGTGGTGTTACTATAGAGGTTAAGTTGACTGACCAGGAACTCCTTACTAGCCAGGGCTAGAGATATCCTATCAGTGTTCTTGAAAACTGAAGTCGTATCCACTGTATCATGCTGATTTCTGAAGAACTGTCTCATTTTCAGATCTCTAGTAATCTCGCACTCTCATTCCTGTGTTTGCAAATGAGGAAATGGGCCCAAATGGTTAAATGGCTTATCCAAAAAATCAGCTGGTATGTGGTGGAACCAGAATTTAAATCCGAATTGGGCCAACTTCAAATACCTGGTCCTTCCCACTGCATCACACAGTTCCCTGTTGGCCAATGCCTCCTGTCCCTTAGCTACCAGAAGCAGATGGTTTCCATCCATTCCCGAATCCCTTGTTCTGGCTTTGTCCTAGCCAGCAGTATCACAGCATGTTTGGGAAAGAAAGCCAAACACAGAGCTTTGTGGGAAAGCCTCATCTGGGGGCAGCACTGCCCCAGCTGCTTGCTGTGTGTTCTGCCTTGTGCAGAGGAAGGCCCCATACCTTGGTCTGCTTCTTCTCTGTGGCATACACGATGGAGGTGCAGCACACCTCTGCCAGCTTACGACCCTGGCCATAGAAGGACCAGCAGCAGATCTCGTCACCGATGACATCCTTGATGAAGAGCACACGGCCATTGAAGCGCAAGGACAGCTTGTCAAACAGCTCTATGTTTTTCAGCAGGTGGTCATCGGAGTTGCTGAAAAACCCATGAGGGCCGGCAGGCCTGGGAATGAGGTTCTGGCACCAGAGGAGCTGTTAGGGTGAGCTGGGTCCTCCCCTCCCCTCCCTGCCTGCCATGCTGAAATGAAGACAAGTCAAGATGCCAGGGGGACAGGAAGACAGTCATGGGGCAACCTCTGGGTTTGGGGGCCTGTGAGGAAAAGGGATTGAGTTGGTTTTAAGTTATAGCAGAGACTAAGGAAAGGGGGGGGTCTCTTCTCCCTAAGCTCAAAGAGACAAAGTCCTGCTGCTACTCCAGCAGGGGGCGTTCCTTCCCTTGCTGTGGGGCTGGCAATGTGCCTGTCTACAGGGAAGCACAGGGAGAGTCTGGGACTCTGAGCCCGCAACCATCTGTGTATAATTAACTGTAGCCTGTTTCAAGGACCCTAGAGGCCACAGGGAAATTGTCCAGTGGGAAGCACAAAGGCTGCAGGAGGCTTAGGAGGACTCCCAGCCTGCTGGCTTCCTAGCAGCCCCCTGCCTGGTGAGACAATGTTGATGAAAACACTGGGCATGCTCTTGACATGATACATGTTAAGGGCGTGTTTCCTGTTCCCTCCTCTATATCCCAACAAGGTCCTGTGCCAAGTTCTAAGTATCTCTACCCTGATTTCCCTTCCCCTGGTGTAGCTCAGTGGTGGAGCACTTGCCTAGCATGCCCAAGACTCTGTGTTCCCCCAAACCCAGCACCTCAAGAAAAAAAAAGAAATAACCCCAGACCCATGTTATCCACTCCAGGAGAACAGGAGGCTGTCCCCGGGTCTGCTGCCCTGTGTCTGCTCTGGCTGGGCTCTTTCAGCTGCCTCTAAAGCCCTTCTCAAGTCCCCCGGCAGACATGCCCACCTACCTGGTGTAGGAATACTTGTTGTTGCTTCTATTGTACAGCAGCTTCACCACGGGCTGTGAGGGAGGAGAGAGTGAGGGCCAGGCTGGGGGCATGGCATTCCCTGGCCACAGCCCTCTGAGCTCCCGGTACCTTGGTGGAGGATTCGATGAGCCTGTCCTCCTCCCTCAGGGATGTGATGATGGGGATGTTGSACACAGGCTGGTAGGAGTCCTTCTTGTCCTGGGAGACAATGCACAGAACAGAGAGCCTTCATTGGGTTCTTCTGCTTGCCAGGCTTAGCTAGGTACCCCTGCAGCCCCTCTGCCATGGCTACCCTCTGCTTAGCAAGGAGGATCAGACAGAGATCATGAGGTCCCTGGCAAGAAATCCTGACAGCTTGCAAGCAGACCCCCATTTCCAGAAAACCTGGAGTCCACATACCTAAGCACATGGACTAGAAGCAGAGTCTCACTGCTGAGCTTGAAAACCTGGCTGCCAGGTTGCTGGGCCTGTACAGCATTTCACTGTTCTAAATGGGTTTGTTAATTAGTTACTAGGAATTAAACCCAGAGGCACTTTAACACTGAGCCACATCCACTTTTTTTTTTTTTTTTTTTTTTAAAGACAGGGTCTTGCTAAGTTGTTTAGGGCCTCACTAAATTCTCAGGATGGCTTTGAACTTGCAATCCTCCTGCCTCAGCCTCCCAAGTCACTGGAATTACAGGTGTGTACCACTGTGCCTGACTCCTAACTAGGTTTGGATTCGTTGACCTCATCTTCCATACAGAAAGCCTGGCACTGACCCTGTAAGTCTCTAGAGGAGTGGTAAATCCCACCTTCATTAGGTTACCCCCAAACTCTGCCCACTTACCTGCAGGGCAGTCTGGCACATGTTCACCAGGCCCTGAATGAGGTAATATTTTGCTTCAGCCATCAATTCTTTGATTTCTTGCCGGTTTTGAGGGAGGGTAATAGTGTCATCTCGGAGGTTATTCAAAATGGTGCCAAAGTGCTTTCCACATCGGTCTATGAGGATCCAGCCTAGGGATTCAGAATGGGCCCCACAGGATTACTGTTTGTCTCCTGGTAACCTCAGAAGCAGGCAAAGGCCACATGTTGAGCCAGGTGGCAGGTAGCAAGGAAAGGACCCACATGAGCACAGAGCCCAGGGCCTAGGACAAGAAAAGTGGGAATGGACACTCTAGCTCTCAGGCCCATGGCTGCTCTTTACCCTTCCTACCTGAACCCAAGGACTGGCACACACCATGGGACACAGAGGCCTGCCAGGCTCTGTGGAGGCTCACTGAAGTCTAAGCTCAGGAGCACTCAGGCCACCATGGCCACAAAGAACTCACCAGCCCCTTGCTCACTTTCTGCCTACAGCCCAGGCTGTACAGTAACAGCTCTTAAAAGAATCTAGTACTATTTAAATATTTTTAAAGTATGGATCTTCTCCCTGGAAAATGCATAAATACACAACATTCTATGTACCATTTCAGGGAATTCTGTGGTTCTCCTAAGAACTCCAGATGAAGAAGTCCTATTCCAAGTGAGAGAAAATGGGAATCTGGATTCTAATCTACCAGGTGTAAGACCTGCTCTGAAGTAGTTTCTCAGGACTCCCCCTTGCTTCCCTACCCACACAGACAGCCCTGATGCCTCACCTTCTTTGTCGGTCAGTACCTCCATGCGCCCACTGAACATGGCCTTGAGCATGGTGTCATGCCGGGTGAGTGCCCGCACCGTGGTGTAGTACAGGGAGCCGCCTACATTGAGCTGCACGTACTTGTTGCCCAGCCCTCCTCCCTTGAAGCCACTTAGCTTGGGCTTGGCACCTGAGGCTGGGCATAGACATGTGTCCCCCGACATCTCCCGCTGCAGGTAGATCACCACACGGCAGGAGGTAGGCTTGGAAGGCTCCGCCGTGGTGGAAGTGTTCACAAGGGAGTGTCCTGGGGAGGCCAGAGCCTCATACTCTCAGTGCTGTGAGCAGGAGATGGGAGAGAAGATGAAAGTCAGCAGAAGAGTCCTCCAATGAGGGAGGGCTAACAGAAGGAGCACTGACCATGCCATTCCCTCCTTGGTAAGCCAGGCATTCCCAGCGAGGCTCCATCCTTAGGCAATAGTGGGAAAGACTTTCCTGCTGTTCCTCATTGTACTGGAAGCCAGGTTGGGAGTAATCTCCCAGACCCCTATCCTGCTCACCTCACCAGCCTCTGATACTCAACTCAGCTCTGGGTGGTAAGACAAGCAAAGCCTTGGAACTAGACACAGAGGCTCTGAGGAAGAGATTGCTCTGGGGATCTACCAGTGAGTTTCCAGATTTTTCTTTATAAACTTCCTGTGATACCAGACTTTCAGCCCAACCTACTAGGAATCCAGCCAGTCCAGGAGTTTCCCAGGAGCCAAAGGGACAGGATGCACTTCCTTTCTCAAGATTCCAGAGCCAGGGTTTCCTTTAGCACTGGCAGGAGTAGCCTGTCTTCAGAAGAGGATGGAGTGGGCCAGTCTGGAGCAGCAAGCCATTGTTTTTAGCAAGGGTTACCTGGGCTCCCGCTGGGCTTCCTGGCCTTCCCCTTTCTTGGCACCAGACTTGACCCAAGTTCCTGAAATCGTTGCTATTTTCCAAGGCAGAACAACTACAGGATAGCTATTTTTGCTTCTTTTTCCTGAGAAGGAACCCAGTTTTATCTTTTCTTCTCTTTGCTCCAAAGAAGAATGAGGAGAAAGTATCAGAAAAGATCAGATGATAAATCTAAAAATTTTTGAGTAATGTGGGGATTAGAATACTAACTAGAGGGCTGGGGATATACCTCAGTTGGTAGAGTACTTGCCTTGCATGCACAAGGCCCTGGGTTTGATACCATTTACACACACACACACACACACACACACACACAAAGAATACTTACTGGAGCTGACAGAACCAAGGAGTAAGGAAAGCCAGGTCACCCTCATGATTTACATTCTCTTTCCCCCCTTTTTTTGTGATTTGTACTCTAACCCATCTGAATCCATGGATTCAATTAATAGTGGATTGAAAATACATGAAAATAATAATAGCACTTGTACCGACACATGTAGACTTTGTCCTTGTCATTAGTTCCTGATACAGTATAACAACAACTTACATGGCATTTACACTTGTTATGGATTGGATATGAGGTATCCCCCCAAAGTTCCTGTGTTAATGAGAAATGTTAAAGGTAAAATGATTAGATTGTGAGATCTGTAACAACAGGGTGTGGCTGGAGGAGGTGGATCACTGGGATTGTGCCCTGGAAGGGAACATTTGTCCCTGGCCCCTTCCCTATCCCTCTCTTTCTAACCTTGCTGTGAGCTGAGCAGCACTGGGCCCTTCCCCCATAATGTGCTCTCCTCTTGGGCCCAGAGCCATGGAGTTGGCCATCTTTAACTGAGACTTCCAAAACCTCGAGTCCCAATAAATTTTTCCTCCCCTAAGTTGTTTTTGTTGGATATTTTGGTTGTAGTGATGAAAAGCTGACTAAAACAATATTCTAAAAGTATGATAACCAATATAGAGGTTTAAAGTATACAGGAGGATGATCATCAATTATATGCAAGTAATATACCAGTTATATAAGGGGACTGGAGCATCCCTGGATTTCAGTGTCTGCAGAGGTCTTGAGGTGCAAGGGTATTATGTTTTGGCTATCTAAAGAATCAATATAACCCATTCACTGAAGAGAAAATACGATAGCTAGCATTCATTGAATATTTACTATGTACCAGATACTATTCTATATTAATATTTTCATATCTATTTTTAGCTCATTTAATCCATTCAGCAATATAAATATTGAGTGCTTACTATGTTAAACAGTAGGAAATTTTTGTTTTGGATATGAAGTGTCCCCTAAAGACTCATGTGTTAAAGGCTTGGTCCCCAGTGCAGCAACATTCGGAAGTGGGGATTTGGGGGGCTGATCAGATCATGACTTTCCACTTCAACAATCTATCACTCCATCAGGGATTCATATTGGATAGCATTATTGGGATGTGGTGGAAACTGTAGGCAGGGGGGCCAGTAAGAGGAAATAAGTCACTGGGGGTGTTCCTTGGAAGAGTCTCTCTCTTCCCCAGCCCCTACTTCCTGCTCTCACTCTCTCTCTGCTTCCATCTGCCATGGATGAGCAGCTTTTCTCTGCCACCTTCTTCCACCACATGTGCTGCCTCACCTCAGGTCCAAAGCAACGGAGCTCACCAATAATGGACTGAAACCTCTGAAACTCTAGAGTCTAAATAAATCTTTCCTCCTTGAAGTTGTTTTTCTCATATGTATATTTTGTTCCAGCAGTGGAAAGCTGACTCAGGCAGGAACTATGCAAATATATTGTCTTGCCTTCACAAAGGTCAAAGAACTGTTAGCAAGAATTTTTTTAAAAAAATGTTTTGAGTTAGCATTTACTGTGCTTCTGCTATGTGCCAGGCACTGGGAACAGAAAGCAAATACAGAAGAGTCATGTCCTCATGGAGCTTACATTTAAGCGGGAGAAGACAGATTATAAACACGAAAACAGACAACTTCAGGAGATGAGAATAAAACAGTGATAGGAGAGTGACCAAGGAAGGCACTAATTTAGATAGAGGCACCTGGCAAGATAACATTTCTGCTAAGGTCTGAGAAGAGCACTTTAGACAGTTGGATGAGTAAGTGCAAAGTTCCTGTTCGAATTGAGTTTTAGGAACAGAAATAAGGATATGGTAGCTGGTACACAGAAAACAGGGGAAGTTGATTCGATGAACGCCTGGGAAGGCACCTAAGGTAGTAAATAACAGTAAAGAGTTTGGATTTTATATTAATTACTGTCCTCTCTCCTTACATTCTTTCCTTATTTGGAGAATGGCAACTCTACTACTGAGCTACATCCCCATCCCTTTTTATTTCTGATTTTGAGACAGGGTCTCACTAAGTTGCTGAGATTACACGTGTGAGCCAGGGCAACTGGCTGCGCATCATCTCTCATAAATGCAACTAGAAGCATGGTACTGGTTTTCCCAAGTTCTGTTAACTGTTCTGCTTCCTGAAAAGTGCCATGCACATTTTAAGTATTCAATATATGTCAGCTTGTTAGACTGAAATTAACCCTGAAGAGATTTAGATAGGTATGTGGGAAGAATGTTCAGGGAAGGGCAAGAGTGGGTGCTGCGGGATGTAGTGAATTCCTTTGGTGGTTTGCCTCAGGGATGCGGTATGGATGAGATGAACCTTAGGATGCTGTCTAATAAGTAAGTAACACTAGAATGGCATTAAATCACTTTATCTTCCACCCTTTAAAAGGTTTTAGCCAGCCGGGAAAGCACGGTGTGGGAGGCTTGTAAACCCAACAGCTCAGGAGGCTGAGGCAGGAGGATCTCGAGTTCAAGCCAGCCTCAGCTAAACCAGGCGCTAAGCAACTCAGCGAGACTCTGTTTCTAAATAAAATACAAAACAGGGGTGGGGATGTCGCTCAGTGGTCAAGTGCCCCTGAGTTCAATCCCCAGCACACCTGCCCCCCCGCAAAAAAAAAAAAAAAGAAAAATTAAAGGTTTTATTAAGTTCATGTATTTTGTGTCCAGTCCCAATATCCCCAGTATCCAAGAAAGCACACACACATGTACTTCTGCCAAATCAAAGGAACTCAATGGCTGAGCTTGCCAAGAGAGGAAGTCAAATCCAGAGCTAATCTATTCTTTTCCTACAAAGCAGTTGCTTTAAACCCCTGGATGACGTCATGCCAGATTCCACCCAGACCAATGGGTGCCAGGAATCCTGTGGCAGGTGACGCCCTAGAAAGTAATTCCGGTGAGATTGAAGTTTCCACTGAAAGCCTCAGTGCTCTTCCTTCCGGACTTGTTCGTGGATATTTGGGGATGCCTGGGGCTAGGGGCGGATCCGTGTCTCACTCAGCAAAGCTAAAGCGAACCCAAGCAGAACAAAGGACAAATCACCGCGGCGGTGGAAAAAGATGGGGTCCTAAAGGAAGAAGGCACACGCGGCGGACGGCGGGGGAGGGGAAGCCGAGCTTGGCAAGAGAGGGCGGATAAGGCAGAAATTCCAGGTGTGAAGTGGCAGCTTCACCCAGAAAGTCCAGGAAAAAATTAGCGACGCCCAGTCTTTCTTGTAGCTAGTGCAGGCTTTCCTCCAGCCCTCACCCTGCCTTTCTACACAAAAACTGAGACACCCACCCCCCCAGCGGAGAATTTGAACTCTCCATCTCCCCTAAGCCGTCCCAACCCTTTTTCCCCTGACCCGTCTGGGGGCCAGTCCTCCCCTTCCCTTCCCCTACCGCATCGGCAGGCCAAGCTCTCACCGTCCCCGGGGGCGCTTCTTCCTCTCAGCTGAATGGCAACCGACTCCTTGCCGCCCCTAGCTTGTAGCCGCCTGCCCAACAGCAATCCCGGGCTGTGAGCTCACATCCTGCTCCAGCAGACTCCTCCCGGTGCAGCGGCCCATCCCTGCCTATCTGGGAAACTGAGACTACAAGGCCCAGCCTGCACTGCCCCCCATCAGGGGCGGAGTCAGAATTCTGCGAGCTTTCCGTACACCCCGCCCTCGCCGTGAGAGCGCACCTACTTCCGGCGACCTCGCTGGCGCAAAGGCTTCTGGGTTGTGTAGGCAGTATTTCCCAGTAGGCTCTGTGGGATATGCGAGGCCAAGTGCTTCCGGTGTCAGGCAGTGACGCTATGGTAAACAGATCTTGTAGCCGTGGCAGCAGCCGAGGGGAGCGAGTTACGTACGGAGTGCTGTTAGCTGGAGGAAGAAGCTGCCTGCCAACGTCACCCTCGGCCGCAGAGCGCCGGCAGGTAAGAGGTGATTTTGGGTTGGGGTACGCAGGCGGACCAGGGGCTAAAGGAATCTGACAGGCCCCCGCCTTAAGAAAAGGCAGACCCGGGCGGAAAGGAACGTGGGAATTCCGCCAGACTCTTAGGGAGCGGTTTCACACCCAGGTGACGCCTGAAGCGTGGCCGGTTGATCGCCGCCGGGAACTGAGGCTCGGAAACCGCGCGGGGTTTACATAGAGAAGACCGCTAGTTCCTTCGCCCCGGCCTTTTCTGACTTTCTGTCCAGTGCCTCTTCCACAGCCCATTGGTGGAGCCCGTAGGTAGTGCCTAGCGTGCACCTGGGAGAGCCCGGACGCGGGGACAGCGTATCACCGCCCTCATCCTTAGGGAGCTCAGTCCCAGGTCTCTTATGTTCCTCAGATACTCAGACACGTGTGTGGTGTGAATTGTGAAAGAATACGATAGCCCTCCGTGAAGCTTCTCTCTGTCCCTTATTCCATCTTACCCAACTCTTTAAATTATCCCCTCCAATCATACATTGGTTCAAGCGAGATTTATGGGAATCATGCCTGACTTTTTCACTCCCTTTATTCATTTCCTTACTCTCTTATCAGTTCAGCTTAGAAAACATCTCAACTCAGAACACTTTTCTTCAGCTGCAAGCTTTGGTTTTTGCAGTAGCCTTCTATCTATTTCCACAGACATTCATTCCACAAACATTAACTGAGTGCCAATTATGTGCAGGCACCATGCTAGGTGCTAGGGTGACAGTGAGGAATCAGGTAAGCATGGCCCTGCTCTTTTGTTTCCTCCAGTCCAGTCTCCAGACTGAGTCAGAGTGATCTTCCTAAATGAAAATGTCACTTTGCTGAGAATCCACCAGGTGCCAAGCTCATTACTGCAGCTTTTGGAGCCCTTCATGATCCAACACTGGTTTCCTCGTGTGGCTTCATCTTGATCCATTCTCTCTCTTGCTCACTGTTTTGATCACACTAGTCTTTAAGTTCTTGGAACATGTCAGATTTTTTGTAGCCTCAGGATGTTCTCATATGCTTTTTCTTCTGCTTAGATTGCCTCCCTCTTGCCTTCATCTCACAAACTTTTTGACTTTAGGTCTCAGTTTAAACATCACTTTTTTAGAAAGCTTTTGTTGACATCCCTCTGCTCCACGCTATGTCCTGCTGCATCTTCACGTAGCACCATGTGCTTTTCCTCACACTGTTATCATAATTTGTGATTAGTGCACTCTCTGTCCAGAGACATTTTCAACAGCTCTTTATCCCCAGAGCAGGACTTAGGAGTTTCTGGATAAATGCACTGTCTCAGGTAAGGTAGTGAAAGTTGAAGTAAGTGTTTGCTCTATCAAGTTATGTGGATCTTTCTGGAGCATCTGGTCTGATTGATTACCTGGTAACTGTTAAGTACTTCGACTAGATGTGTAAAGAGAACAAGCAGGAAGACAGATTTAAGGAAGCTTTGAATGATTAAAACATTTAAAAAGAAAGAATCAACTCACTTTAGTTGATTCCAGTGCGGCCAAAGGCCAGAGTCATATATAGACAGCCCAAAGACATGTATTAGTTAGCTCACACAGTGCTGTGGCAACAGTAGGACTTAATTCTTTTTTATTTCTTTATTTTTTGGTGCTGGGGATTGTCTTGCACATGCTGGGCATGCACTTTGCTCCTGAGAGGCATCTCCAGCCCAAGGGACTTCTTTCCAAACATTGCTCTTCCTGTGGCACACCTGTTTCTGATAGCCACTCTCCAACTTCATCCCATTCAGAAACAAACTTCTCTAACAAAGCTGAAAGGGAAACAGGTGTGGCAGGGGGAGATGGGTGCAGAGAAAAGGGGTGGTGCAGGGACAGGTGATGATAGTCTTTGGAACACCTGGGTTTTGGAATGGGCCTAGAGCCAATGGCTAGAACTGATTAGCGTTTCCTCCTTTTCTTTGTTTCTTTCTTTTTCTTTTTTTTTTGTGTGTGATGTTGACAATGGAACCTAGGGCCCCACATCTGCTAGACAGGTGCTCTACCACTGGGCTAGTCTCCCATCACTTCCCTTTTTGAACAGAGCATGCATGTTTCACTTATTTTTAGTATTAAAAAAAATTGATTTTTGAGCCAGAATGAGGGTGAGTTTCCAGTTTCCTTCTCGGAACTGAGGCATCCTTTCAGTGACCTGTGTCCATGCTGCCTTCTCTGCTTGGAATGCCTTTCCCTGGCCACCTTACTTGGTATGTTCTTGCTGATACTTCATTCTTTTTTGTGTTTTCTGCTGGAAAGAGACTGACCCAACTTTGGTTCCCATTTCGGGCATCGGTATAGTGACTTGCATCATACATTTTGGGTAATATTCTTACTCATAGCTTATTTTTTTTAACCCTTTTAATTTACCCAGATTTTAAAAATTTGCTTTTGATGTTATTCCACAAACAACACAAAACATGTATTTGAAAAGCCTTTTTTGGTACATAAATGGGGAAATATAAATATGTTTATGGCTCATAACAGTCCCGATGTCACTCAAGTTAACTGCTCTGTTCTCTTCTTGTTCTGCAGTGATATTTTGGTAAAGCACTTAACAGCATAATTTTTCAGTTTACCTGTCTATCTTCCTCCAGCTGAACTATGTGCTCCTCCAGGGCGGGCACCATGTTGCATTCAGCTCTGTACCCCCAGCATCTAGCAGTCTTGGCATGTAGTAGGCACTCAAGAAATGTGTGTTGAATGAACGATGCCTGTGACAAGCAACTGGACTTTATTCTTTCCTGACCCTTGCTCCTATGGCACACCTCTTCTGCCACTGTCACCCCTTCAGAACAGAACTTCTCTAGGGAACCTGGAAGGGAAACAGGTGAGGCTGAGAGGTGGAGGCAGTGGGATTGGGGATTCTTTGGAACATCAGGGGTTTTGGCATTAGTATCTGGGGGCAGGAGTGGACTTGGGCAGGCAGCAGGTATTTCCTTAGTGGCTGAGAAGTGATTGGGTACTGGGCCTGGTTTCTCTGTAGCTATGGCCAAGGACATCCTGGGTGAAGCAGGGCTGCACTTTGACGAGCTGAACAAGTTGCGGGTGTTGGACCCCGAGGTAACCCAGCAGACCATAGAGCTCAAGGAAGAGTGCAAGGAGTTTGTGGACAGTGAGTATCACTTGGGGAGACACAGTACTATTCATCTTTGAGCAGCACCCCACTGTAGGATTTGTACCCCACTCTTTCTCCTGGCTGCAATAATGGTCCTGGCTTTGAATCTCCATGTACCTGCTGTCATATTATTATTATTTTAAAAAAATAATTTTTTTTTTAAATTTTCATCTGGTGCCAAGGATTGAACCCAGTGGCTCACACATGCTAGACAAGTGCTCTATCACTGAGCTCCAGCCCCCTGCTGTCTTCTTATACTTGTCATGTCATCCTGTATTGAGCACATTGGGAGAGGAGGGTGTTTTCTGACATGCCATCTGTGATTTTTTTTTTTTTTTCTCACAAAAACCTTAATCTTCATGGGGCAGAACCAGGGCTTTGAGGTGGGAAATGGGAATTATGCATTATTTGATTTCTTGATAGAAAGTGTTCTCAGTGGTAGGCGCTCCATTATTTGGAGTGAGAGGTGCTAACTGAAGTCTCCAGAGGCAGCTCAACAGACTTAATGAAGTTATGTTTGAGCTAGAGATTTTAGAATCTCCTGTCCCAGCAGCCAAGCAAGCCCAGTGCTGATGAAGAGAGCCAGATCTAGCTGGAGCAAGGGATTTCTGAGCCTCTGGACCTCCCTGTGCTGTGAAGAGAGTTTAGCTGGTGAAAGTTGCTTGGGTTTTATTGCCAGTCTGTGGTTGCTGTGTGCATGCTATTGTCTCACCTCTTTTTTCCCCCCCTAGTAAAATGGGGTTCCAGCATACCAAGGATGTTGAAAAAAGTGAGTGGGAGATTAAGTACTTAAAAGCTGTGAGCTCTTTAGTTGGCTCTGGTTATTGGTGGGAAGGTCCCACCCCACCATTGACTGAAATCTAGGGTATATGTGGCTAGTCCAGAGGTAGCACTGGTGTTCTGAAACAGTCTTTTTGTGAATTGTGCTTTGTGCTTCTTGTCACTCCTGGGAAATTGGGTCCTCCAGGTGGACCCTTTGTAGCCTGAAGTAGCAGCAGGTGGCTGGCCTGGTGGTAACTCAAGGTCTAGGTATTCCCTGGTCCAACTCTGAGCCCCTGGCCACCTTTCTCTAGGTTCAGACCAAGGGTGGGAGACTTGCACCAGCAGGCACCAAACTGTTTTGACATAGATTAGAAGGGGTATTCAGCTCTGCCCTCACTGCTTCAGGGGAGTGCTGAGAGAGAGTGATGATGCTGAGAAAATAAGATATTTTTTGTTCTTTCTCCAAAAGAAATTGGCCAGTTTCAGAAAATAGTTGGTGGTTTAATTGAGCTTGTTGACCAACTTGCAAAAGAAGCAGAAAATGAAAAAATGAAGGTAAGCTCAGCATGCTTCTGGCCTGGCCCAGGGCGCTGATTCTCTACTCCCTTAATCTGTGCTCTTCATTTTTGGGGGAGAATGAGTGGGTTCTTTTAATCATAATAAGATTCTTTAAAAATTGTTTATTCTTCTTATGCATGACAGTAGAATGTATTTTGACATATCATGTTACATGGTGTATAACTTCCCATTCTTGTGGTTGTACACGATGTGGAGTTAAACTGATTGTGTATTCATATATGAACATAGGAAAGTTATGTCCAGTTCATTCTTTCTTATTGCCACCTCCCCTCCCTTCCCTTCATTTCCCTTTGTCTAATCTAGTGAACTCCACCCCCCACTCTTAATTAGTATCCACACATCAGAGAGAACATTTGGTCTTTGGTTTTTTGGGTTTGGCTTATTTCACTTAGCATGATAGTCTCCAGTTCCATCCATTTACTGTTAAATGCCATAATTTCATTCTTATGGCTGAGTAATATTCCATTGTGTATATGTACCACATTTTCTATATCCATTCATCTGTTGAAGGGCACCTAGGTTGGTTCCATAGCTTAGCTATTATGAATTGAGCTGCTACAAACCTTGATGTGGCCATATCACTAGAGAATGCTGATTTTAAGTCCTTTTGGGTATATGCCAAGGAATGGGATAACAGAGCCAAATGGTGGTCCCATTCCAAGTCAAAACAAGATTTTTGAAACAATTTAGGGTCCAGTTAACCTTCTGAGCTTATGTGTCAGGATACTTTTATTACTTTGATCTTCACATCAGCTCTGAGTTTTTTTTTTTATTTTTTTTTGTAGTTGTAGATGGACAGAATGCTTTTTTATTTTTATGTGGTGCTGAGGCTCAAACCCAGTGCCTCATGCATGCTAGGCGAGCGTTCTACCACTGAGCTCCAGCCCCAGCCCCAGGTTTTATCTTATATACATGGAAAAATGAAGACTTACATGGTGCAGATAACTTAAAGGGCATGAGGCTGAAGGGCACCACCAGCCAGCCAGCCAGCCATTCAGTACCTGCAGGCAGGGCTCTGGGAAGAGCTCTGGACTTGCCTCCTAGCTATAGGCCAGTTCTCCCCAGGCACTCTGATTGGTAGGTTAATCATCTTTCTGGCTTATCCCCAAGCCCTGGTGTGCCATTTTCTTTTCCCCTCTGGGCACTGAAATAACTCCTGATGGCCCACCCCTATTTTGAGGACTTCCTGCTATAGATTTTTAATGAAGCCACGAACTTTGGTGATTCTGTTTCTTAGGCCATTGGTGCTCGGAACTTGCTCAAATCCATAGCAAAGCAGAGAGAAGCCCAACAGCAGCAACTTCAAGCACTGATAGCAGAAAAGAAAATGCAGCTAGAAAGGTAAGAAACCATGATGTGAAGCAGGTTCTTCACATCAGCACTTAGATACTATTTTCCTTCTTGATCATCTTTATCATCATTACCCAGGAATAGCATTGCACTAGTCAACCCGATTTGAAGAATTTTTAAAAATTACATTTGTCTGGGGATGTGGCTCAAGTGGTAGCGCGCTCGCCTTGCATGCCTGTGGCCCGGGTTCGATCCTCAGCACCACATACAAAGATGTTGTGTCCGCCGAAAACTAAAAAAAAATAAATATTAAAATTTAAAAAAATTACATTTGATGGGAAGAAAACAGAACATTGGTTTTATAACAAACATCCTTGACCAGGTTTGAGTATGAAAATTCAGATAGCAAGGGGCCAGTTGGCTGGCTCCCAGAGGTAACTTTGTTAGGGGTGGAGTTTGTTTTTTTGGTAGTTGTAGATGGATAGCATGCCTTTTAAAGTATTTACTTAGTTGTAGATGAACACACAGTATCTTTATTTATTTTCATGTGGTGCTGAGGATCGAACCCAGTGCCTCACACATGTGAGGCAAGCGCTTTACCACTGAGCTAAAGCCTCAGCCCTACCTTTTATTTTTTAAATAGCTTTATTTTATTCATTTTTATGTGGTACTGAGGATTGAACCCAGTGCCTTACATGTGCTAGGCAAGCACTCTACCACTGAGCCACAACCCTGCCCTTATTTATTTTTATCTGGTATTAAGGATCAAACCCAGGGCCTCACACATGTGAAGCAAGTGCTCCCCATGAGCCACAACCCAGCCCTGGAGATTTCCTTTGGGTAGGATTTTGCCTGTTTGTTTTTTCTTTCTTGCCCTAACTTCATTCTGAACTCAACATTTCTTAGAATCATTTAAACCACTGTAGTCTTCTCTAGAAGACTTTAAGTCTATGGTTTATTTAATCTTTTTCAGGGCTTCTAATAATTTTGTTTTTCAGGTATCGGGTTGAATATGAAGCTTTGTGTAAAGTAGAAGCAGAACAAAATGAATTTATTGACCAATTTATTTTTCAGAAATGAACTGAAAATTTCATTTTATACCAGGAAGGCAAAAAAGCCCCCAAACCAAAAAACCTCTGTACCATTCCAGTGACTTGACTAATGACCTACGTCAWGACAATGTGCAAGGAACACAGCCCTCTGAAGGCAGTAATGCAGTCCAGGGGTAGGACTGGAATGAGTGAGTGAACAGCTACTGCCAGTGGCCATGCTGGGCAGGTTCTCACCTCTTACATTCTTAGTAGGAATGAAGCAGTCTGTAAACTTTGATCCTCTTTTTTGTAATCTTACAAAGCTTTGGAAAGAAAAAGCAATAAACTATTGTTTTCAAATGGCTTAGTTGCCTTTTTCCCCCTTGTAGTTTGCAGTGTGCTTCACCCMTTGTGAGAGAATCCTGGATGCTCAATTCCCAGTCCACAAAACTCATCAGGCAGTAGTCATCAGCTGCCTTTATTTGGACCAGTCTCACCTGAGTCGGTACCAACAGTCAGACCAGTAKGACTTGTGAACAAAAAAGACAAAAACAGAGCTGACCAGGACTTGTTTTTCGTTTTCCCTCTTTAATGTTGGCCTCAAGTAGATTTAGAGAACCCTRATGGAATGCTGAGCATTAATGTGAAGAGATCTGACATGCACACGTTGGGCTTGTCACACCCAACTATCCCCAGCCCTAAACAGGGTGGGAATGACCAGACTGTATCAGGAAGGATGAAGCTGTTCATTAGGGAGCACACCTCCAGAACAGTCCTTAGATGCCAGACTTCAGAATGAAGGGAACTGTCCCAGGTGGYCTTTAAAAATATACATGTCTAAGATTTGGAAATAAGATGAACAAGGTGACTTAAAATCTCTTGGGATGACCTGTTTAAGAAACAAACACTTTCCAGTCTAACCTGTTTGATTGACAAGTCATGCTGAGGCTGAACCTTAGGAAAACTCAGTTTAAACCTCTTCTACATAATATTTTCCCTTTTTTCTCCCAGGGGTAGAGGTAGGGCCAAGAAAACATGGTTTTTAATGAATATTAAAGAGGCACAATTTCTAATTTGAATGGTCTGAAACCACTCCACTATTTTTGGATTGGTGATTGATAGGCTACAGTGAATCATGAGTCAAAGGTTCAGTCATGTGTATATGCTGTGGGTCAGATACCTCATGAATGAGTCAAGGAGGCCATGTCTTGAGGGAGCTTACTCAGTTTCTGGTCTGGTCCTGCAATGGAACTTGGGCACATGATAAGGTATTTGGCACGACTTTTCAACGACAGCCCACTCTCCTTTGCCCCCCACCCTGCTTTGCCTCCCACCCCTGCTGATGAATCTGTTCATCCCTTGGAAGATAAAGGTTTGACGTGGCTCTTGCCACCATCTTGCTCTTAAGTACTGCTGTTCATGTTTCAAATRCTACTGAAGACATGGGTTCAGAGTAGTTTTTCTTGTATTGGGTCAAAAGGGGCAACTGCCCTGTGAATGTCTCTTCCTGGGTCAGTGATTGTTTCCCTCATTTTTTCTTTCTTTTCTCCTCGCGGTAGGGGTTCTTCAACATGAACAACAGAAGTATGAAGGGAACGATAAAGTAGGGGGCATWGATGGCCATGAGGGTTATTCGWTCATGGAAACTCTCAGGACCTACTCCTTTGAAACCACTGGCTTTGGAGAAATCCCCAAATAGAAATGTGGAGAGAATTGGAATTAATGTTGTCAGGGTGTGAACTGAGTAGATGATTGCAGGCATACGGATCCACTTGCAATTTCCTGAAGCAAAGAAAGAGAAAAGGATGGTTAGATCTGTGTATGGCTTCTGGGACGTCTGAGATGTTCTTTGCCCTGTCTCTGATGGCCTGTTCCCTTTCTGTGCTTTTCTCCAGGTAGAAACTCAGAAAAAAATGGAAAACTGGATGTTACACTATCCAACACATAAACTTAGTTGAGAGCTAGGACCCTAGCTCACTGACTTGCCAGAGAAATCAAGGGTGAGGGTCAGAATATAACTCAGCAGAACTCTAGGATAGTAAAACTCCCATTACCAGTTTAGTCTAAAATGCAAGGGGAGGTACATCCCTGTCCCAGCACCCGCCTGTGAAGTCATCATATATAGGCAAGAGGCCTGCAGTTGGATCCCGTGCCTCTGGTAAACTCCAGTAGGCACTTTCAGCTGTAAGAGCTTAGTTACTAAGGACAGAAGTATGGCTTCTTATTTATAAAGGCATTAATTATATAAGAACATGTAAGAATAATTTTTAAATGAGAAGTTAAGCCTTTTATGAATTCACTTGATGCTACGACTGCTTGTAGGTCAGTATGATACTATTCAAAGGAGGGCAGTAAAGCCAGTGGTTGAGAGATTCGATGGTGGGGTCAGGGGATGACAAGTTCAATCTTTAAGTGTAATAGGAGAGATTTCCAGATAACTGAGGTAGCCATGTGCCTCAGTTGACCAGATAGGGTCTGAGCCACATTGATGTCCCTTTACCAGTTTATCCTGATTGCTTCCACCAGATCCTATGGGGCCCTTGTGCCAACTTCAGGGACTATGCCCCTCTATCTTGGAGATACTTTCTCAAAAAATTTCTGGGGCTTGCTTTCTGAGAAAAAAGGAGATTTTTTCCCATCATTTACCAACCTTTGAAGAAGGCATATGTTGCAGCGGGAAAGAAGGGCAGCTGAAACAAAAGCTCACAAAACACAAAGGACTGGAACCACACTGGGGTGCTCTGTATCAGAGGGTCTTTGAACTCTTCAGCATACCAAGCCAGCAGGTTTCTGAGCTGAAAACAAGATGATAATCATGAGAAATTACAGCACCTGGCTTGATCAGGTTCAGCATCTTCAGGTCATTTAGGGATAACTGGTAGTCTTTTACTGTCCAGTCCTTTTGGCGGCAGGTGGCATACCAGCTGGTTTCTGTATCATAGTCTAGATTAAAAACTCACTAGCTCTAACTCAAATGTTACTCTCTCTGTGAAGTTTTTCCTCAACTCTTTCAGTCCCTTCTTTATGCTACCCAGAATTTGAGAACTCCATAACAACACAAGTTCAGATTATGTTGCCCACTGTCAAGAGCAACAGACAGCTGACACACAGTAGGTTCTCAGGATGTTTGCTAAAGGAAAATGACATTTCTGCTGACATCCTTTTTTGTAAGGAAACAAGAAATGTGAAAATCATCCTGACATTTTCCCTTTCACAATAACTGTATACCCAACTCCAAAGGCCAGATTCCCTCCATGCCGAAATAAGTTGAATTTTCTTTCTTTCTTTTCTTTTCTTTTTTTGGTGGAGGAAGGTGGTTGTGAGAGGGGAGAGGATAAATGTAACCTATGTGGAGATGTAAATTCGGATACTTTAATATCACAAGTAAGTTCCTCATTGTTTTTTTAACTTTAGCCCCCCTCCCCCCCCCCYTTTTTTTTTTTTTGAGAAGACCAGTAGGATATTTGTAGATGAATGAACTGCCCCAAACCATATAGCTGCTAGGTTGTCAAGGCTTGACTTAGTGGTCTCAGCTCTAGTTTGGGCCCCACCCTTGTAAATACCCTTATAAACAAATAAGGGGAAGCAGATCCATGCTGAAGTGGCCATAGGCAGAGGAAGGAAGCAGTAGAGTTTGAGATGCCCACTGTGTTTTACAGGAGTCTAAAGCCTAGAGGCTTGGGTTTACTACCAAGGTCTATCACAGTTAGCTTCCAGGAGGTGGCACTGTCCCAACACATGTTTCAAAGCCAGTGTTTTGATATTATGAATGAAGGCAACTCCATCAACCGGGCACTGTCTGCAATCCCAGCAACTTGGAAGACCAAGGCAGGAGGACTGCAAATTTGAGACCAGCCTCAGCAACTCAGCAAGACCCTGACTCAAAATAAAAACGGCTGAGATGTAGCCGGGTGGTTCAATCCCTAGAACCTCTCCTGCCCCCCACCTCCCAAAATATAAAGCAACTCCGAGGTTAAGAATTTTATCTTACATTAGAAAATTCAAGGACCTTTCTCCTGTTAATGTTTAATCATAAGATAAAGGTTCACTATCATAAGATAAACATCCAGAAACAAATATTCTGTTGGCACAATATGAATTTCAGAAAGGTTCTGTTGACCAGTCTATTCACCAATGATCTCTAGTCTGTTCTTAATGTGAACAAATTCATGGCAAGGTAGTGCCCTATGCCACCTCCTAAGCACTTTCAGGATAGTAATGTGGTAGGAAAACTCAAAAGGAATAAGTTTTTGCTCTTCTTCAGGGCTCTGTTTCCTTATCTGTAAAATGAGCAAGTTGAACTAAGTGATTTAAAAATAAATCTAAAAACAAAAAAATCATAAAAGTATTAGGGAAAACTATGTACTTTAAAATATTTACTGCATTATGTACAACTATGATGCACTAGTAAAAAACGTGGGAAAAAAAGCAAAAAAAAAAAATTTACTGCAACGGCATGTGATGACACATGCATGTAATCCTAGTGACTTGGGAAGCTAAAGCAGGAGGATTGCAAGTTTGAATCTCGGCAACTTAGCAAGGTCCTGTCCAAATAGAAGCAACAAGAAAATAAAACCCCARCAACCACCAACCAAAACAACAAAAAATACACAACCTAAGGCTCAATCCCCAGTATTACAAAAACAAAACAAAGATTTAGCACAGAACTTGAAAGGCATTCTGGTCCATTTGAACTTTATCTTCGATTCACCTATTTCATAAATCAAGGTAGGCTTGTTAGGGCACTGGGCTGCAGGGTGAGATTAGCAAAATTTAAAAATCTAGTCACTTGGTGCTGGGGTTGTGGCTCAGCAGTAGAGCGCTTGCTTAGCACATGTGAGGCCTTGGGTTCGATCCTCAGCACCACCTAAAAATAAATAGAATAAAGGTATTGTGTCCAACTACAACTAAAAAATAAATATTAAAAAAAATCTAGTCACTTCACTCTCCTAATAATTAGGTACCACTGCCCACAGGCACAAACCAACCACCTGATGCTGTAACATGAGCTGAACAAAGGGTAGGCAGAAGAAAAGACCCAGGCCCCAGGCAGAGTGGCATGGAGCATGGGAGCCAGAGGCAGAGCTCTTGGCTGAGTCCTGGCTCTGGACAAGACCCTTAAGTGCACTCCTTATTTCCCCATTGATAAAATAGGGCCAATCTTACTGTGGCAACACATGTCATCTTTAGAACAATTGCTAGCACCTAAAATTATTTGGATGTAATTAATATATATCTGGGGATATTCAAGTTAATTCTAATAAAAATCTTGGCATGGCATTTTCCAAGTGCGGTGGCGCATGCCTGTAATCTCAGAGGCTTGGGAGGCTGAGACAGGAGGTTCGTGAGTTCAAAGCCAGCCTCGGCAACCGCAAGGTGCTAAGCAACTCAGCGAGACCCTGTCTCTAAAGAAAATACAAAATAGGGCTGGGTGTGGCTCAGTGGCTGAGTGTCCTTGAGTTTGATCCCTGGTAACCCCTCCCCCCCCAAAAAAAAATCTTGGCATGCAACTAACTGGTCATTAATAATTACATATTACTTAAGATCCCTCTCCCCAAAAGAATGTGATAAAATTGTTTCCATTTGGGCTGGGGCTGGGGCTGGGGCTCAGCAGTGGAGCGCTCACCTAGCATGTGCAAAGCGCTGGGTTCCATCCTCAGCACCATATAAAAATAAATAAATAAAATAAAGGTATTGTGTCCAACTACAACTAAAGAAAATATTTTAAAAAATTGTTTCCATTTATAGCTGACTTACATTTGTCTCAAGTCATCACTGATACCCATGAAAATTCACCGGACTGGGCTGTAGATCAGCAGTAGTATTCTTGTCTAGTAGGTGTGATGCCCTGGGTTTCAGCCCTAGCACCACAAGATTCATGGGGCCGGCACAGCCAAAGTTTGCTGTGAAATCTTGTATTTCTCTAATTCCAAACATGGACAGACACCTACCTGTATTTGTTTATTTTAACAGAAACATTTTATCTAGCTGCAAAGGATACTACAAAATGCTTTCCATGTATTAACCAATACTAAATTCTTCTGTTTCATAATAAAGAAGGAGTTTTTCCAAGTGATTTGATTGAAACCAACAAGAAATAATTACATAATTTCTAGCCAGATCCTATCTGCATTGGTTATTATCCTTTTCAAATCTTTTTATTTTTGATGCTGGGTATCAAGCTCAGGACCTTGTACATGCGAGGCGCTGTTTACTTGGTTTTTAGTTTACCACTGAGCTAAACTCCCAGATCTAAAGCGGAGTATATTCTGCCCAACCAAATCACACGTTTAAATGGGGTCTTCATGATGCTGGGCATATTTTAGTAGTATTTTGTAAGTGGTGAGCAAGGATGGGGAATGGCAGAAAGGATAAACCACAGGCTCCTAAGTCAGGAATGGCTACGTGGAGTAACATGTCAATTCCCAAGTATTTAAGGGACCTATTATATTAAGAGATTATAAATAGGCAGCCGGCCTGAATTGTGGCCACACAGGTTTCAAAAACTATAGATAAGGCAATACAAGTAACCTCATTAAAAGTAAGGCAGAGGTAGATTTGACCAAATAAAAGAAAGTGGCAATGGGGTGACCTGAAGAAGAGATTAATGTGGTGTGGCCACAAAATGAGGAACACCATTCTCCCATAGAACCTCGGGAAGGAAGCAGCGCTAATGACATCCTTTAAGATTCATTTTGAACTTCTAACCTCCAGAACTGTGAAAGAATAAATCTGAAAGGAACCAATTTGTGATTATTTGTTCAAGTAGCAGTAGGAAATTACTACAACGTATGCATATGTTGGGATCAAATTCAGGATCTCATGTGTACTAGGTGAGTGCTGTACCATCAAGCTCCATCCCTAAACTTACAACTTAAGTATGTTTGAGCTTATAATTTAAACTCCTATTTAAAAGTAGAGGCTACAGGTCCCTGACTCACCCACTTGGCTAGTTTCGAAGAATGGAGTAACCAGAGTGTGGCACAATGCTCTTGCTACATACCGGCCTGCGTTTTTCCCATGGAAATGAGGTCAGAAGTCTTCCCAGTTATGCTTAGTTCTAAAAGCGAGCAAAAAGGAGACTTATGGGAGTTGGTATACTTTTGAGTTCTAACCTTTTTGGAAGGGTTTGACCCCGGAAAAGTTGACTCTTCTAGGAAACACAGGGCACATGCAATTTTGTGTACACTACTGCAAGCTCATGGAGTTCAGATTAAGAATGCTTTCCAGGGAATGGAGTTGTGGCTCAGTGGTAGAGCGCTTGCCTAGCATGTGTGAGATACTGGGTCCGACCCTTAGTACCACATAAAAATAAAAATAAAATTAAAAAAAAAAAAACTGCTTTACAAACTGGGCATGGCAGCACACACCTATAATCCCAGCAACTGAGGAGACTGAGGCAGGATCATCACAAGTGGAGG